TAAAACATCTCTAAAAGCCCAATTGCGGTTGCCTACCCGTCTGCCAAGCGTGGCAACTACTGGCAAAACTCCACTCATAGGGAAACCATTTGTTCAGCAGTGAATAGTTAAAAGCCGAAGTTATAATGATGATAGTTCATAATATTTTTAGAATTAGTTGAGTTTTTTTTTATGCAACTTAGAATGGCAAACAAGCTGACGGCCCACCTGATGGACAGTGGTAACCGTCGGATATAGACATGAACAGTACCATGGACATAACAGAGTATACTGTTTCGCCCATGATACCCCTCATGCGTTGCCATTCCTGAGTACTTAGGTGTTATTCCTCTGTACCCTGTAAATTCACTGCCATATCTCACCCTTCAAACCGCAACATAGCTATACAAACACAGCGGCTTTACGGTAGAAACACGAATGAGACAGAGGTATCCAAGCAAGCGACTTTTGTACAAAGTAGTAGTTGATTCATTACAAACCTTCATATCCTTTCTCCTTATTTATTAGTCTAATATAATATCATTATTAATACTTATTAAAAATTATTTTTGGTACTTGGATTGAAACACATTTTTTTTTCATAAACGTCAAATTATTAGTTATTAGATACACAATACAGAAAATTCCAATGAAATCCCCTGCGTTGTTTTCACACGATACATGTATAAACAGATTGACAGAGAGGTAAACACCCAAGAAATGTAAACGTGTTATTTTGGCTTCAACTAAAGTTATACATAACACAATATTTACATTGTATTATTGTGCACAATTATTGTGTAACTGACAAGTTAACTTTCTACTGATTAATGTCCATCATATTTATCCAAATTTTCCCGGGGATTACCTACACATTACATACACCTACAATTAATATAGTTTCTATTGTATACAGTGAATATCAATACAAAATTTTGGGGGGAAAAGGATTCTTAGTAATGGGGTCTAATGAACCCATTGCTAGCAATATACACTATCAGGTTGATCTCTAGGCGGTTCCCCCTGGAAACCATCGTGGCAATTCGTCACGATGGACTAACTGACCTGCTTTCATCCTCATCTATCATCACTCACTGGTGAACCGCCAGCATATACCGATAGCACAGACGGGGTTACCATTCCATTATCACCCATTAAAAAAATACCAAATTTTTCATATTCAGTCAAAGGGATATTTAATTTACGTGAAGTTAACAAAATAACCCTGTCTGCGCTATTGGTATACACTGGCAGGGTAGACATATGACAATGATGAATTAATCAGATCCTGTCACTGAATTAACTACATTAATATTTAAAGACGACCTAATACGAAATATTGCTAGCAATGAATCTGTCAGATCGTATTATAAAAATACTTTCAACTATTTATTTAGGGAAATTTATTACGAGTGTTTCAGCATTTACATATTAAACTCCGTACCTCAAACTTGAGTACAACAAAGTATTGAGGTAGCAACTAATTTTATCTTGTACAGGTAAAAAATTATATTTAAATTCCTTCGAGTCGTCACGAAAACAATACAAACGACGACGGTAAGGTCGATTATATAAATCCAGGTCAGCGACCCAATTCTCCCTCTATATTGATGCTCAATCGTGTATCCTAATAATGCCAGAAATACGTTACACTGGCAAATGATCTTCGAAATTCAAGGTTGAATATAGGGTATTTGATATTGCTGTCATTATCAGTTCATCACTGTATTTTCTTAGCTTTGTTTTTTTCAATTTATCTCGCCTCAACCCAGAATTGAGAAGTTTTGTTTTTATTTTTAAACCTTCCATTACTCGTGCATGATCCTACAAAATAAAAATTTTAGAATCTGAATGCTTAAACACTAAACCATATGAAAAATAATTATTCATTAATTTGGATATGTTAAGCTTTGATATACATTAGAAGAACCGAAATGCAATAAATCTGCATAATAATAATAACTGCATTTAATTTAATTATATTGGAGAAAACCAAATAAATATGTCCATGTCGTATATGCATTTAAAAATGCAAACTGCATTTAATCTTTTTAACAATATGAGTTATATTCTCCTAGGCATTAATGTTAATACATTGATCATAGATTACAACTGATCATCGTCAGAATAAGAAGAAAAATCTTAATTATATCTTTGTTTGTATGTTAAGGATTAAGTTAAATTTATTTGCACAAACATGTGTGTGCAGTAGATATAATATTGGGTATTTTGTTTATGTTATAGTTCTGTCAAGATTTGCATGCTTTTTTTGTTTGGCGAATTGTAGCTTTACAAAAAAATATTGCAAATTATATAATATAGTCTATAGTATAATAATAAAATAACAAATAATAATGATATTCAAAAATAAATTCAGTGCCACGTTTCCATCAAAAGTTTCAACTCTTAGTGTAGATGGTCGTGTTACCGTGTAAACTTAACAAACAAAAATAACCTCTAATCCTATATTACTCGTAATATTAAGTATCAAATATTTGGTTTACAGTAATCGTGCGCCGGTCTCAAAATACCTATTCAAAACCTTGAGACAACACTTGTGGTTCATCAAATTTATTTTGGGGTGTCCATTAATGTCTGTGGCATGGGCTCCCCCGGCCACGGCGTTTTATAGTGTAGGTTACAACTAGGAATATTTTAATGGGTGATAATGGAAAGCTAAGGGGGGAAAGGGATTGTTAGTAATGGAGACTGAAAATCTCATTGCTAGCAATATACCCAACCAGGTCGACCTCCTCGCCGTTCTCCCTGGAAACTATCATGGTTAATTCCTGATGAATTCATCATGATGGGCTAACTGATCTGTTTTCATTCTGATCTATCATCTTTCACTGGTGCCCCGCCAGCGTATCCCGTTAGCGCAGGTGGGGTTACTCAATAATTAATGGGCTTCTCAATCTCCATTACTAACAATCCTTTTTCCCCTAAATGTTTATTATTCCGAAATCGAACCAACCGTCAGAATATAAGGCATTGTGTTAAACCGCTGTACCACCACCACCAAGTTCATGATGTCAAGGTCAAAATGGTCAGAATATCCGATTATTTTTTCAATATCTATTAAAAGAACGAGTGGAGAGAAATAAAATACGAAAGTAAGTAGATACAAAACCCGTACCAATTCCTTAACAACAACACGAAACTCATTTCGGTTTTTATTACGAACATCTACGCGCGTTCTTTTAGTTTTTAATGCGTAAACATTGATACACAAACAAAAGTTGCTATTCCTTACCGTATATTTTGATTTATTGCATTTCAAAATAAGATACCAAAAGAACCAGGCCATATGTTTAAAAAGTTTACGCAACTTGTGCATTTTCGCCACACATGATGAAAAAATCATACTTAAGTATGTTAGAATAATATAGGTCTAGCCGTATCTCGCTAAAAAATTTGTTCGCGGTCATATCGTGATATTAAGTAGCCTATATCCTTCCTCAAGAAATAAGGTACCAAAAGCAAAAGGTTAATTTTTCTAATTCGCCTGATAGTTTAAAAGATTTACGCGTTTAAACAAACACATTTGTTTTGAAAAATCTACGGGGCATCTTTGCCCCGCTTGAGTGGCAAATGATTATTATATTAGCCCTTAACTGTACACTATTGAACACTGGCCCTCTTGGGGGGTTTTGCCAGTACTTGCCACGTTTGGCAAACGGGTTAGCAACCGTAGTTAGGTTCTGGTAATGTTTTAAGAGAGATACTGCTGCCTATCTATGTTTTTTTCAATGGGTGATAATGGAATGGTAACCTCGCCTGAACTATCGGTATACGCCGACGGGGCATCAGTGAGAAATGATTGGTGAGAATGAAAAGGCAGATCAGTTAGCCCATTTTGACGAATTCAACGATAAATTAGTCACGTCGGTTTCCAGGGGGGACCACGTGGAGGTCGAACTGGTACTTGTAGTTAGCATTACTAATAATTTCTTTCACACGGTGTACACGTATTATATGGGATGGAGAAAGGTATAGGCTTTTTATACCGGTCAGTAACATATCTCGGTCACGCGGACGAAGTCACGGATAAAAGGTAGTATTATACGAGTATATAATGTAAAAATGAGTTTATTTGTTTGTTTTTTTTTAATGAGTGATAATGGAATGAGCTGCACTGGCAGAGCACTAGTGAGGTATGATGAGGATGAAAAGGCAGGCAGTTAGCCCATCGTGCTTATCTCAGCGCTTTTATTAACAGCTCAATCAATTGTCAGGAAATGTGGTATGCATAGGTAGTATTTGAAATAGGGAAGGATATGCCTTTCTCCATTCTAAATACTACGAAATATACCAATTGACTGGAACTGTCCAAAGTTAGCAAAGTTTTTTTTTTCTGTAATTTTGTTTTGTGCTACGCGCACATGCGCTTGGACATGTTTCATCAATTTCGAAATTTTTCTTAGAAATTTGTATATATACGAATAACATTTACTGATTAACAATTAAATAAGTGATTTTTATGTCCAAAAAAAATGTAATTATTTTTTTATACTACAAAAGTGGCACTGTAGCCGTTGGACTCCTGCAACACCGAACATAGCACTCTGAAAACCCCTCTAATATGCTCGAGAACTCTAAACTGTAGTTTCTATTTTGTTTGACATTTTTAAACATAAACTACGTAATTGTATTTTTAAATTTATTCATAGAAATTTTAAAGAAATGGAACCATATATTATTGTCATAGGTACTCGTCTGATAAGAGTTTATGATTTGTTTACCTACGCAACACCTTATAAATCGCTAATGTGCAAGAAAAATCACGAATTTTGGGGTAATGGTAATTTTTAATCAAATAATTGGCATCACTTATTACAGTAATCATTAATCTGATTTAGATAGTTACACTAGCCAAATTAAAACGTATTTTTTTCAATAAACAATATTTGTTAAAATAATAATTATGGTAATAAAATTACATAAGAGAATAATAAACGAAATTTGCAATTTTAACATTACACCTATTTAACATTCGCAAATTTAAAAAAAAAAACACCTACCGCTTTTCCCGACAGAGGGCGCGCCCACCACCGCCAATTTCACTTCAGAAAGCGAAGACTTCTTCCTTCTGATACCCCGAGTTGTCATTGTCGCGCAATCATCGTAACGCCGCAGTTGCGGTGTTCAAGCGGCGTGTGCGCACACAAGCTGCGAACACCAAACTCACCAAAGTCGAAACAAAACCGGTCGCCCGCCAGCTAAAAATACACGAAGCGACATCTGTAGCCATGTTAATAGGTCAAGATCTGGCCAAGATCAGATCCGTGCGAATAGGCATGTTTACGCCGTCTTCCTGGCCTGGCCACGCGCGTCCGTGGCGGCAGGCCAACGCCACCCGAGCTCTTGATCTTGTTCTGCCGAGGATTAATTTGTCTAGAATATTACACACCTACTAAACTGTCGATCAGCTGACTCTGTTTTGATTGTTGAGATATTGACGGTTCAAATAAACTCACGCTCGTAACGTATTACTATGTAAACATTATTCTACTCCATGATTAAATTGTACATAAATATATGTCATTAATTGTTTTTATATAATTTTTTCCACGAATTATATTTTCATCATCATAACATTGTTAAACTAATATTAAAACATGTAAAAATAAAAAAATAATTAAACGATATATGTACGTTGGAGATACGAGTATTTGAGAAAATATGAGGCAACTTAATAGAAGCAACATTTTTTTTAATAATTAAAATTTAGTCTATATGTATGTTTATTTCAGTGTCACGCAAAAACTACTATACATAATAGAATGTTATTTCCACAGTTTTGTCTTTGAAGTTCTAACATAAAATCTGGTATATTTTTAATTTCGATACACCATCTAGAAGCTTTATATCATTGGTTTTCCTACTTCTGAAATCCACAAATACAATGTTGCGGGCAAAACACTAGGAGCATATAAAAAATTAAAACCCAAAACTTTAAGTACATGTCGTCAAAGGGATTTTTAGGCTAACAACTTGGAAACCGTCGTAGTTAATTCCATATGAACTCACCACAGTAGGCTAGCTGATTGGACTTCATTCTTCACTTTATCTATCACATATAGATACCCCGGCAGCGTATGGAATGCGGGTGGAATACCATTCCATTATAAGAACGGCAGTATTACGTCTTTGTCGAATTGTTTAGAAATCATACGGAAGCTATAAAGAGGTACACGAGCCACAAGTGGTATGGTTATGAATTCCAGCGTCATTTCCTCTCAATTTGGCATCTAATCAAGTTTTACCACTCGTAAAGCCATCACCATAATTTTTTGTTAAGAGAGGGACTCGCTAAAGACCAGCGCTGTGCAGCTGTACACATTATACAACGGATTGTGCTCAGAGGAATTATTCAATATGATGCCTATGGCCACTTTCTATCATCGTACGGCTCGCCATCGACAGGGAGTTCACCCTCATACCTTACAGCCTAAATGGTCGCGTACAACGCGGTTTCAGAGATACTTTCTCCCACGAACACTCAGGTTATGGAATGAGCTCCCTGCCGAGGTTTTCCCAAGAGACTACAGCATGGGGTTCTTCAAAAGGGGGTAAAGAGGTTTCTTCAGGGTCGGCAACGCGCGCGTAATACCTCTGGTATTGCAGGCGTTCATAGGCTACGGTAACGGCTTACCATCAGGTGGGCCGTATGCTTGTTTGCCACCCCAGTGGTATAAATAAAAATTGTACTGGGACACTCATAGCATCAGCTGAGCCAGTTCCTTTTGCCTAATATGAAACACTTCTTTTATATAATATTACTATATTTTCGGTTGTAACTAGATAGATAGATAGATAAACACTTTATTTGAGCCATTTATGACACACGTAAATTAACAAATAAGTTTATACAATCAGATTATTTACATTTTTTAAAATAAGTATGTGTTTTCTTTTTTCTTGGCAACAAATATTTTCCATTCTATTCTATTCTATCATTTCAATTGCCTCTATTTAAAAACGGAGCCAATTCTGAGACGCCATTTCTGTAAAATTATCATTTAACCTAATATTTTATTTTAGAAATTTAGCAAAATTACTTTTTATTTGTGGACCATCATACACTAAAATTATAATAATTTTGACTCAAATCTATTAGAAAATTAGTTCATATTGTTTCTAACAATAAATATTTCGGTATAATATCAAATTGAAATTTTTATTTTACAAATTGACAATAGGCCTTTCAGAATCCATCCCCAATGACTCGACATTGCCATAGAAATCATACCATAATAACAAAAATATTGACTTCAAATATGATAAAATTTATATAGTAGACAAAACAAGAGTGAAACCTATTAATAATGAAAAAAGAATTGTCTAAATCTCGTCAGAATTAAAAATGCCCTGTAACATACAAAATCTGTAGCTTTTGCAGGAAACAATAAAGATCTATCTATTTATACAAAAAAGTTATATATTTTTTGTATATGAGAATACGTCGATAATGAAGTATTAAGTCGATATGAGAATTTAAAGAAGAGAGACTTCTAATAAAGGGGATTAATAATAAGGGAAATAAATAATAAGGGGATTAACCTCCACGAGGTTGTCTCTATAAACTATCGTGGTTAACTCCTGATAAATTAAACTCAATGAGCAACTAACCTAAATTCATCCTCGTTTATTATTCCTCACTGGTCCTCTATGGTATGGTATGCTGCCTCATCAGCATATACAGATAGCGTAGGCGAGTTTATCATTTCATTTTTATCCTATAAGAAAAAAAGAAGTATTAACCGGCCTATTTCAATTGTTACGTTCCCAACACAACATAGAGCCCCCCTCTATGTTGTGTTATGTGTAAAGAGATTATTAGTAATGGGGTCTAATTTTCCCATTCTAGCAATACACTATCAGGTCGACCTCCACGTGGTCCCTCCCCTCTGGAAATCATCGTGCTGAACTCCAGGTGTATTCATCACGATGGGCTAACTGACCTGCACTTTCATCCTCACTTGTGATAAGTGACGACGAAAGTGCAGTGCCCTCACTAGTGCCCCGCCAGCGTATACCGTTAGCGCAAGCGGGGTTACCATTCTATTATCATCCATTGGAAAAAGAAAAAACACTATGTAGATACATATTATATGTAGATTCGGAGACCCTAATGAAGGCAATTATTTACGAATACTGAGGATGAACCCTTAATTTTGCAAATGTTATACCAATGGTTTTCAATTAACAAATTACCATTTCACATTTTTTTTTTATCATGTAATAATTATTTACTCCATAAATCATTCATAAAAATTATTGTAAGGCACTTTTGAAGAACATTTCACTTTATAAGAACCGGTTCGGTACATTTGTGTAGAATCGGTTCTTGAAAAGTTCTGAGCCCCTAGTACAATGACTATCACGACAGCCGTTTCCCCTAAAATAGGTACATGTCGTAAATACCATATGTTTTCTAAATATTCACGAATACAATACAGGTACATACAACTATGAAATACCAGAACATACGTATAAAACACTCGAACAAAAATAAATATAGATAGATACTCATAATTACATACAAATATTTGTATCGTACGAGAATCAACATCTTTGTAAATTATTAATACCCATTAATTCTTCTCTTTCCATGTCTAGGGAAAGTAGATAAAGCTTTATTTGAGAAATCAGTTCAGGGTACAATAGGGCTGATATACCTGAAGAAGGTAAAAGCCCTTATAATAATATTAAAAAAAAAACCTGTCGCGGGTTTGATTAGAAGATAAGGCGATATATTGAAACGTTACGTCATCAAGGTAGTCAACCATTGACGACCTTGAATGAAAAGGGGGTTAGAACACCTACTTTACGTTTAGAAACACGAAATCTCCGTAGGTATTGTCCTTAATGCACGGAATACTTTATGTTATTCTGGACTATCTAATTTTATTGTGGACTATTTTTGTATACTTATTCATGAACCAGAATTATTATTGGTTATGTATAAACACAATAAAGTCAACAGTGCGGTGTAGGATCCCCGCTGGCCTGGTTAGAAAGCAATTCACACGAAACAAGTTCCATGCTGACCGAGGAATGCCTGGCGGGCTGCCAGCACTTATCTCCTTCAGGTATCAGCCGCCAATTAAACCATCAAAAGCATTGTTATCGGTTTTGTATTACTGTCGTATTGTTCAGATATTTTCCTTTCGTACGTAGGTGCATTAAACTGTAGGCAAAAATGCTAAAAAAAATTGGCAATGAAATTCACCAAGTATTAACAACACGATGGTTTCCAAGGGAGACCGCGTGGAGGTCAAACTGATGTGGCACATTGCTGGCAATATAATCGCTAATCTTCTTTAACAATCTCTTCCTCTTGTACCATAGGTCGTAATTACTTAAATATTTTTTTGCAAGAATCAAATTCGCGTCCACTCCGACAGCGTATGACGATAGCGCAGACGGGGTTATAAAACCGTGACCATCGGAATCAGGTAGTTCATTAAACTGTCACCACTAAGGTCGCCTGACATAGCAAACCTGTCGCTAACAACATCAGGTCAACCTCCACACGGTTCCTCTTAGAAATTATCGTGTTTGATTTATTGTTGAACTCGTCACGATGAACCATCTGACCTGCTTTCATCATCACCAATCATCTTCACTGGTGCCCCGCCAGTGTATATCAATAAGGCAGGCGCGGGGTTACCTTTCCATTATCATCAGTTAAAAAAAAGGTCAACTGACAAGATTATCTGTCAATTATCACAATGTATGATAACTTAGTACTTCGTAATAGTATCTTAAAAAAATAAATAAATTATTAAAAAATATTAATTAAAATATTTTAAATGATCAAAATTACCCTATATCCTATAAAAATCATAAATTATTGAAATATATAGGTAATATAATTGCATGTCAGTTGTGAATTTATGAATAAAGAAAACACTTCACTTAACAATTACAATTTATTTGTACATTTTATACAATATTTAATACACGAAACTTATATAATATCATTAGGAGATGCATTACTTCTATTAAATCATTTTAATCGGATTTTTCACAAATACTTTACGATGGCTTATCTGTTGTAAATGGTCACTCGCCTATAGGCGTATTTAAGGAGAATGGAGTGCCCGTACAACTAATTTATAACCACTTTAGAGTTTGTCATTAAACAAAATAGAATAATATCGCATAATGCACATGAGAGAACAAATTACTTCGCCTTCTCTACAGAAAATAAAAAAAAAAAATCTTGATATAAGTACTCGGACTCGACTACAGGGGACCAAAGTTACGTGCACAATGTAAATAGCAGGCAGAGTGTTTAGAAACAATTTTCTCAACACATAATAACAAACAAGTTGGCACGCTTCAAAGGATGGCGGAGGAAATCCTGTGTTGTTGTTACCTGCTTTATACACTAATAGAAATTCTTAAATACTAAAAACAAAAAAAAAATTTAATTACACTGTTTATTAAGCACTAGTGATATGAAAAGAAAGCGACCTTAGAGGCTATTAACTATTTATATGTAAATTGTATGTAAATTATGCTTATAATAGGTTTTGGGTTACTTACCTTAGAAGTAAATTTATATTGGGCCAGTTACTGGTGCCAGTTTCAGCACCAAATACTGTCCCATACTGAATCGAACTAGAAAATGATAGCGGAATTTGTACTCTCAAATCGGTGCTGACGTGACAGCGCTGTTGTAATGAAATAATTTACAAAACTCAATTTAAACTATTTCGAGTCTGAAGTCAGTAACTGGCCCAGTGTAAACCTACACTAACTATACTGTTTAATATAGCCATCAGGCAACATTCGAGATCTTTGTAATTAGATTTAATTCTGATACAAAATCTAGTTATATTTAAACGGTAGATCAATTTGGCGGATTTGAATTTCTAATTGAGCAATGTATGTACTTAGGTGAAATACACTATTAACTCGTATTTCATCTAACTTTTACAGAATTTGGAAATTTCTGAGTGCTTAACAAAGTAACATTTATTGCGATGACGTCAGTTCTCAAGTAGTATTCTACGAACAATGTTACATTCATAAAATCTTACTTAAATCATAGGACATTATAAAAAAAAAAGCCAAGGAAAACTGAACTTATATATTATAGGAAAAATATGATTAAATTATTACTACATAGTTTTACGTAGGTATATTTATTTCTTGCACATAATGAAAGTAAAATAAACATAAAAAATATATAATCACATTTTATGTATGATATATATCATATATATATAAATCAAGAAGGTCCGTAACTGAACAGTCTGCCAAACATATATTACATTTGAATGTTCCATTTGTAATTTGACGAGAAAAATAAAAAAAAATACTGAACAAAAAGAACCGGAAAAATAATTGGGATCGACTTTGAAACGTTATTAACTCTCTAAGCTTAAAACGCACATTATTCTGTGACTTCAATAAATTGTCACCACTTCTTTCCATCCCAAGATACCATAACAACCAACTGCGAAAACAAAGTATAAGGCAACAGTACCAGAGAAGAATCACTCGAAAGAAAATCCTATACCAGGTAGCCTGACCAGCGCGTATAAACTCCTTTAACTGGGGCAGATCTATGTACAAGTATTATATACATTAATGGAAGTTAATTATTTACAAAACATCCGTTAATCAAAAATTCAAACCCAAATTATAAGCATATTCCTGTCGATGGTTTTTTTTTTTACAACACAGGGGGCAAACGAGCATGCGGCTCACCTGATGGTAAGTGACTACCGCCGCCCATGATCACCCACAACACCAGCGGCATTGCAGTTGTGCTGCCGGCCTTATAAAAAGGAATATACTCTTTTCTTGAAGGTTATGTTGTCGTATCGGTTCGGAAATACTGCTTGCTGGAAGTTGATTCCATTGTACATCGTTTATTTACTAACCTATGTATTGTATATTAATTGTTATAAGTACATTATTGTAATTAGCTAATTTCGTAGTACATTCAATTTTTCAAAAGAAATATGCTTACAAATTTATTTGTAACTCTCGTCATACGAATGTTTTATGCATAATTAAATTCAATGGTGTTAAGAGCTATTATAAGTAGATTGACTTGAATGTTATTTCTGGTTCACCTTTTCTTGCACTGGCATATAATACTTTGTTTTCTTAGTTGCCCATGACACTTTGGTAATGAAAGAGTAACAATATTGTATTCATACACAATGTGGATAATCTTATAAGAAAAATTTCAATGCAGTCGGACCTTTTGGACGTAAAAGCGAAAGACTTTCCATAGAGTCGTTACTTTTAAATAGGTAAATATTTAATTTTATACTATGTACATAATACAATCGCCTATGGGTTTTAGAGAAATGCATTATTTTGGTATTTATGTACATTAATACATTAGCCATATTAGTCGACAGTATAAAAAAAAACTCATATATCTATTTGCAGTCCATTGTACACAACGTAATTTTTAGAGGCATATTACACTGCCAAATATTTTATAATCGTATTATACAAAGTAGAAACCAAATTATTTTTAAGTAAGACCAAAACGTTATAAAATATCACAACATTTTTGATATTAAGTGTACATCAATTGCTTCATCCATTGATAAATTGTATTTGATAGTGTGATATGACTTTTGGACGCTTCTCAAATGTAGACACTGTTATTTACGCAATAAGAGTGTCTACATGTGAGGAGAGCGTTACAAAAATACTATGTATGATTAAAGAAACGGTAGCGATAAATAAACACAATGTCAGACCCATTTTAACTCGACGGCAGAAGCTTAGGAGACGCAAAACCAATCTAATATACAAGTACTATATGGTATGGAGAAGGACTGGCCACTTTTTATTGCGACATATTCCGAACACATATTGGGGACCGGTAGACAGCAGAGGTCGCCAGTTCGGGGGCCGACCACATACTCATTTGTTGCAGTATTCGGCCATTCATTTACCTTTCAAACGCTCCTCAAATATTGCGTCTAAACTGCGCCCACCATGTACCCTCTTGTATAGGCATTCCGTGACCCGTATCCAATAGCGAGGACGGGATGCCTTAAATACTGTACCGCAAACCATAAAAAAAACCAATCGCTTAACCATCTTATTCACAAAATGCTGAATAGTTCTTGAATAGTTAAAATTTTCAAGTCACTCAAATTGAGAGTTTAGATACAGATCACATGTCTATCCGTTCGTCATTTTTATGAATAAGGTTATTAATTAAAAATCAATTAAAAAGTGTAATAGATATACAATACGTTAATTAATGTAACCCGTTCCTTAAAACTGTTGTTATTATTCATTATTTTTGTAGTGCATCCACAATGTTTGCAACGGCATGGACAGATGACTTCTATGCCATCAGACGCAAACGGATCGCATCTCTTTTATACCGATTGCGTGGCAGCAGTAACAGCATTCTGAGGGCATTATGTAATAAATTCGATAGCCCGATCCTCTCATTGTGGGTCAAAATTATTATAGGGGCCATAAAATGAATTTTGTATTTTTTTTTCTACTAACATAGTTTAAGTCAATTGTTACTAACAAGAATGGAACTTTGTAATCTATAAATAAAGAAATATTATTATTATTATTAATAGGATATCAAAAAAGTCTCTTTTTTTTCTAGAAAAAAAAATATATTACCAAAAAGAAATTATAATTGTCGAATAAAAGAACAACCTGTATCTGTACCAACGGCAATATATAGTACAGATGTGTTATTATGTATATAGTGACGAGTTACGTTAGTTCATATACTTTGTATTGAGTTTTATCATCTTAATAAATATATATATTTATATCTAATATGAAAAAAAAAAATTTACCCGACAACCGGCGACTGACACACGATACTAAAATGTCCGCACTTTTGCAAATCAATTGGTCCAAAAAATACTTCACCCGTATGATGTAACAAGGTTTGATGTAGGAAAACATCCCTACAAACAAGCAATAATCAACTAGCTTCTCTTATATTAATTTTAAATTTAATAACATAAGGCTTAAACGCGAATTAGATATTTACATATTATTCGACAGTTCATCCTAGTTCCCTACTCGTGATCACAATAAAACAATAACGGTGCGTAATAACAAAAACAATTCTTGAAGTGACTTCTTTAATATAGTTATAATTGATACACGTATAAAATTTTTATTAGTTCTTCTCAAAAAAAAAAAAAAAAAAAAAAAAACGAGCCAAGCTAACAAAATCAAATGACTGTCCTAATGTGCCTACCTACTATAGTCTTACATAGATAACTACTTCTATCTCACTGCTGCATGGAAAAAAAAGTCCCGAATCCAACATAGGGCAATCAAGGCCCATATCCCTCATCCTTACCTTGTAGTTTACATAATACTCGCCTATATTTTGACACTATATAAATGTCTAGTGATAAAAAGCGAGTATTACATACAATAATATTTAGGAATACTCAAAACGTATATACATTGTTCAGTTGTCGTGTTAGGAGTTTTTGACTAGTGGGGAATCCAAAGCAAAAAACTAATACGGCCCACTAGACGAGTGGTAAACGATTCTATCGATAGAATCGTTTCGATTACCGCTCGCATGAGAAAGAATAAGACACCGTATGTCGCTATCTCATTCTATCTCAGAGTCAATGATATAGACTCACTAGCGGTAACGTTATCGATAGATTTCTTTGCCACTTGTCTATGAGAAGCTGTACCATTTAAGGTTGAAACATTTTTTTATATATATTTTTTTTATAACACAGTAATCTAGCAAGCGGCTCACCTGATGGTAAATGACAACCGCCGCCCATGAGCACCCCGCAACCCCGGAGAATATGTAAGTGTGCAAGGCCTTTTAAAAAGGACTATTTCCTGAAGATTGTATTGTTATTTTCCAGTTAAGTGTGTCGAGTGTAAAAGAGAATGCCTTAAAAAACGGATGGTGCTTGTAGTGACATCTACTCATCCTGACGGTTGTAATAAAGTTTCATCTCTATAAATGCAAGATAAGGCAATAGTCCATATTATAATTTACCATAACAAGGCATGATATCGTACGTTTTTAGCGTACTGATATAATAGGTGAATAAAGCATATGCAATTGTATATAGACGCTTATAAATTTTCACGCACGTCTAATTTATTGTCTCATCAAATAAAATCGACTCCAAAGAATTGCATACATTTCGATCTCCTTTTAAATCGTAGATTATCACGCAATATATGCAAAATTAAAATCGCTTTGTGAGTTTTTACTTTATTTATACCGCTATGCTTTAGAATCCCTTACTAGTATTAAAAATTTTAAACTATGTACTTACACGACTTAATGCTTATGTCTCTATGTATATACGGAGATATCCTAATGGTATAATTTAAAAATATTCCTAGAAAATCATTGGGTAATAACTAATCTGAATTATAGTTGATCTCTTGTATGAGAGGCTGCATGTCTTCACGCTTCTTCTCGCTTCTATTTGATATCCTTGTGACGCCCTCCAATACTCCGATGTCGGATAATCTGAAAAAGGACCGGACCACTTGAGTTTTGTGGCAAAGTATGGTATTTATCAAAAACTATTATCGTATTTTTACTTAAAAAAAAATTGCTAAGTTTATGAGCCAATTTAGAATAGTTCTGATCCTTAAATTAGTCCAGCAGTGTTTTATAAATAATTTCATATTATTTATAATTATTATTACCTCTTAATTCCATCAGTTATAAAGCGATTTGAAAAAATCTTTTTTATCTGAAAGTGTAGGAAGAGAACTTCTTTAGAGTTTTTTTTTAATGGGTGAAAATGGTATGGTAACCCCGCCTGCGCTAACGGGATACGCTGGCGGAGCACCAGTGAAGGATGATAGATGAGAATGAAAACAGGCCAGTTAGCCCATCATGATGAATTTATCAGGAACTAACCATGATAGTTTCAAGGGGGAACCGCGAGGAGGTCAACCTGGTTGGGTATATTGCTAGCAATGGGATTCTCAGTCTCCATTACTAACAATCCCTGTCCCCCCTACTTTTTTTACCATAGAGTTAAGCTCACCTTTGTACATTTAATCATCTTTATCATTATTTTAATTATTTTCACATTCACATTTGATTATTAAATAAATAGATATATTTATAGTAAGTCCCATACAATTTTTATCAAAATCGATTCTTTAATGTGGCACCCATGACACCCTTATGTGTTGCAAGTCCTACGTATTATGGATATATCGTAATAACAACATACACTTGCGGCTCGATGTCGTCGACGTGGTTCGGCGTGAAGTATGGGTTGGCGGCCGCCGGCCGGAACTTGTATCCAGTCATAGCGAAGAAGAGGAATGTCGCCATCTCGCGGAACATCTCGTCTATCCACGAGTATTGGAATGGTACCGTAGTCTGCACATGTATGAGGTAATAACAGATCATTACAAATATTGTTATGAAAGAATGATAAGAAAAAATATTATAAATATTTATTTTAACAAACATTTATTCAGCACAATATATGAGATATTATGGAATGGATATTCCGAGAAAAAAGAAGTGATGGAAAATAAATAAATAAATTGACCAATTTTTCTTTAGAATGGCAAACAAACTGACGGCCCACCTAATGGAAAGTGGTAACCATCGCCTATAGACATGAGCAGTACTATGGACATAACAGAGTGTGCTGTTTCACCCATGATATCCCCCATACGTTGCCATTCCTGAGGACTCAGGTGTTATTCCTCTGTACCCTGTAAGTTCACTGCCATATCTCACCCTTCATACTGAAACACAACCCTGCAAACACAACTACTTCACGGTAGAGATACGAATGGGAATGGAAATGGACGACTTTTATACAAAGTCTCCCTCTGGTGTGGATGAAGACAGCCCAAAATAGATACATTCATAAAATGTCAATTATGTTAGAGTATAATAACTGAGTGGCAGTCGTTGTGGTGCATTTTCGGTGGGAAAATATTGTTCCATCTGATTCATACCATTCATCTGAATCAGCTGTATATTCAGGCAAGCAAAGCCGCGGAGTACAGCTAGTTGACAGTTCAATTTTCATACTATACATGCCTTTTCATTATAAATTTTAATTTAAATAGAGAGCAAAAAATTTTGTTTTTTTTTTAAATTATATATTAAATTTATTTACTTATGAATGAAACAAATACAATAATACTTATATATTTGAAACAGGTGTCATCCTATGCAATACTAACCTTTAATAGGTAGACAATAATCCTGGTGAAGTATATATAACAGAGCACCATAATGTAGAAGTGTCTGAACAGCTTCAGTTTCCTTAAATTGATGGCCGCCTTGCCGTCCGTGCTAGACGCATCCTGCAGGTGACGTATGGACCTGTGAATAATAATAAATATTTACTTATTACTGTACACAGTACACAGCGCCATCTGGTTACAAACTCAGCAGAGCTTGTACTATGGGTACTAGACAATTGACAATTGTAAATACATATTATACATAGAGAACATCAAGAACAATATAAACAGTACAATAATCATAAAACCATATTATTTTTTATATTAAATTAATCCATTTCCAAAATGTCAAAATAAACTTTTAATATTAGTACTATCGCAACTCGTGTGAGAGTGATGCCCTCTGGTGTCAACAATCCATAAAGGTAGTTGATATGTCAATGGTTTTACATGTAACAGTATTAATTAAAATAATAATTAAGGTTGTGTTGTGGCAAAAATATTTTTTTTAAATAAACTACTGAATGGATTTTGGCAAAGTTCCCAAAGGACCAATATATAAGTATATCCTTTCACATAAAAAAAAAGCCGGTTCACTTTACAACTGATTAAGTTATGAAGTAACAAACGTATAAAAAAAATACAGTTGAATTAAGAATTACCTTCTTTTTGAAGTCAGTTGTAAATTATAAACTATTTACTAATTGTTCTCTGTCTTTTTTTTTCTACAACTTAGAATGGCAAACAAGCTGACGGCCCACCTGACGGAAAGTGGTAACCGTCGCCTATAGATATGAGCAGTACCATGGACATAACAGAGTATACTGTTTCGCCCATGATACCCCTCATGCGTTGCCATTCCTGAGGACTCAGGTGTTATTCCTCTGTACCCAGTAAATTCACGCCATATCCCACCCTTCAAACCGAAACACAGCTATGCAAACACAACTGCTTCACGGTTGAAACACGAATGGGATAGAAGTGCCCAAGCAATCGACTTTTGTACAAAGTCTCCTATATAAGTAAGGTAATACTTACTTATATAATACTTGACCGAGTATAGAAGAACATTCTATAAATGGCTCGACATCAGTAAAACCTCCTTTTACATATGATATGTAAAATAAAACCCAAAAGAAACTGGACACAGTCTAATTTCTACACACGGTAATATTTGTTAATGGCGGTGTTAAAACCCCAAATAATAATTGAGTTAAGGGCAGGAAGATGACGATGATATTAAAAATTGTTAATTGTCACACTAACCACACGACTGGAAACATAATAGCACCACAGCACAGCAGGTCGACCAGTATGAATATGTCGCGCCACGCGTTGTGCTCGGCGGCGCCCTCTTCACTCTCCGCTATTATTATCTCAGCCACGTTTGCCACCACCTGGCACAAACATAAATTTCTACATGTAGACTTCATTTATGTGACTTAGAATGGCAAACAAGCTGACAGCTCACTTGATGAAAAGTGGTAATTGTTGCCTATAAACATGAACATTAAGGACAGAAGGGGAAAAATGTTGGGATACTTGATACGACACGACGAACTTATGAACATTATAATAGAAGGTAAGATAGAAGGATGGAGAGGGAGAGGGAGACCGAGACATAGTTACATCAGGCAGATCAAGGAAGGAGTTGGTGTCGTGTCAAGAGGTGAAGAGACTCGCTGAAAATCGTAGTGAGTGGCAAGAGCTCCACCGACAAGAGCGCAGCTCTTAAATAGATAGATAGATAGAAACATGAACAACACCCTGAACATCACAAACTATTAAAGTCACAGTACAGTTCATAGTTTGATATTCTTGAGAATTGTTGTGTTATGCGTCCATTCCCTGTGGCTTAAACTTTAAGATACTCAGCAAGCTATGGGGAGATCTATGCTCGAAGTTTCTTTGTGTGATAACCCGAGGAATAAACAAGCTGAAGTGGCAATGAGCTGGTCAAATAACTCGAAGAACTGACAACTGATTGGGAAGAAAGGTTTTTGAGAAGCGACCCGTACCCGTACAAGGAAACGTAATGAAGAACGACACCTCACTAGATAGAGTGACCACGAATGCATTGCAGGGAGTAGATGCAGGTACCCCGAGACCGTTCCTTATGACAGTCAATGAAGAAGGCCTATACTCAGCCGAGGACAGATAACAGCTGATATAGCATGACGATGATGACCAGGTAGTGTGATTTAAAATAGCAGTTACAGTATTTACAAGAATATTAAATTTAAAATATTTTTTGTATGAAAAAGTTTCGGTTTCTCACACACTTACCTGTAATGGTATGACAATCATGAATAGCTTCTTGTCCCTATCAGCAAGGATATGCTTGATGAAGTTCCACCCGGTGCCGACGAGGACAATTGTGACAAATAACACTGCTCCCTTCAACCTACAAAAAAATTACATCTAAATTAATAACTATTGTATTTATATTTATATATATTTTTTATACAACTTGGAATGGCAAACAAGCTGACGGCCCATCTGATGAAAAGTGGTAACTATCACCTATAGACATTAACAGCACCATGAACAGAATATATAGTAGTCACCCATGAGGGCGATACAGTATTCATCAGTTCTCAGAGGTATCATTACCTCACATGCATTGCCGTTTCTGAAGACTAGTGTTATACCTCTGTATCCTGTAATTTTACTACCATATCCCACCCTTCAAACCCAAATACAGCCATGCAAACACAACTGCTTTACAGTAGAATAAAGAATGAGATAGAGGTACCCGAGCAAACTGACTTGTACAAAATCTCCCTCTGGTAAACATATAAAAAAATATAGTACAACATGTAATCCATGAAAAAATATCAAATAAACGTTATCTATAATTAGGCTAACTCAAAACTCTACAATCAATAAAACCTACTGTCGTTTTATAAACAATGCCATTTTTTTATTTATTTATTTTATTTATTAGACACAAAACAGATCACAAGCATAAAAACCTTAAATAGTTCCATTAGTGACACACCTAGGCTACAACCCAATTACATTATTTGCACATCTTGAGTAATTCATCTAAATAATTAAAAATTGTGTCTCACAAGAAAACCGACTTAAATATGATAAAATCAGTAATTATGATCTAAAAACTAAACTACTGAACCGATTTTGATGAAATTTCTATTATTATAGATTGGTTCAATCTGTAATCTGTAATCCTTTCAGATAAGAAATACTTTTTTTTTTTTATTTTCCGAGTCGGTTTATAACTGACAGAGTTATGAGGTAATAAAAATAAAAAAAAAAATAGAACGAAATTGACAACTTCCTTTTGAAATCAGTTGAAAACAGTTTGCAATAGAGTGTGCAATTCACACAAGTATATTTTGGTATAAAATAAAAAAAAATAGCATCTTGAATCATATTATATTAAATTTAAAGATGAAAACATGACTAAAACATAATATAAATAACTATAAAAGAGATATACTTACAAATGCGTGATGTAATAAAGTATCGCCCATGCGGTCACGTGTTCCCCTCTAGTCTGTATGAAATGGTAGTTAATACCGTGGAACGCCAACGATAACGCCTTCAAGTAGACTAGCACACACATAATGATATGTATCCTGTACACGGGATGGCGACTCGTCTTCAAAAGGTACGTCCAAAAAACAGCGCTCAAGAAGAATATTAGGGACATTAGAGTGTACAGTGTCGGCAGTGGCATCTCCCCAGCTGACAGATAATTGTCCTGGTAGTTGCTCTCGTATATTTCTATCTGAAAAATAATATGTATTATATAAGTAATAGATCCTTTTTATACTATATGAATAGATTGAAAATTCAGCTTAACATGAATCATAATATTTATTATATGTACCATACGATACCAACCGTTGACTGTCCACTGGTTAACATAGGACTCTAGCATAAGGGAGATTTTGTCAATAGTTGCTAAACTTGGCAGGCGGATTGGCAACTGCAGTTAGACTTCGGTGATGTTTTAAGAGGGACGCTGTTGCCCATCCCATACCATGCCCATTTCATAGACCGTTAAGTTCCCTTAATCGCGTCTTACTTCTTTACTTGTATACTTGTAATAACCCACGTACATACATATAGGAGGACGAATGAGTGCCTCGGGGTTACGTATGGTATGTCAATCTTTATTAGCCAGGTTTTGCGTAAACGATGTCATGATTTGGTTAGACGTTTTGACGATACCTGTGTCTCCACGCGGATAGCGTAGGTATACTTGTGTGTGCATTAAATGCAATAATGTATATATATATATATATATATATATATATATATATATATATATATATATATATATATATATATATATATATATATATATATATATATATATATATATATATATATATATATATATATATATATATATATATATATATATATATATATATATATATATTGCATTTAACTGTTTTGTTAATTAAGGTTCCCTGGAAGAAATCGCTTTTAGTGATAAGGCCGCCCACTGTCTGTTCAGTGTCATATTTTTTTATAATTGTTAGTATATTTATTTTTATAGGGCAAAATTTTTTATTTATTTAACACATTTATGATTTGACTTACCATCATGTTCATTGGAGGTGCATTCTGTTTAGCGACCCGGGGACAGTTGTGGAAATAAAGATTGTATAGTCCCTCCTCCTTGCTCGACGCCACATACATCGCGAACTGTAAAGTATAGGCTATATTAAAAAAAGTATGCTAACAACTGCAAACCCACAGGTATTTTCACCAAGTACTACTGTTACCATTTTTTAATTAAGCTGCCAATAATGAATGAGCGAGTTCTAAATGTAATTAAACCATATCAGACGTATTATGTTGCTAATATTATGTTCACCATAAAAAATCCATAATAATACTAAATGGGCACAGGAGTCCTATGCCCATTTAGTATATTATTTAATTTAGTATTTTATTGATTGACTTGTGGGTCCTGTGACAGGACCCATAAGTTAATCAATAAAATTTATTTATTCTACTATGTCTACTCTGAATCGTCGGCATGGGAGGAAAGAAACTGTCAGTAATGGGGTCTAACTGCCTTATTGCTGGCAAAATACCCTATCAGATCGACCTCCAAGCGAAACCCTCGAAACCATCTTGGTAGATTTTTCTCGAACTCGTTACTATGAGCCATTCTATTAAAAAACAGAGCTCCATCTCAGCACAGACAGAATTTATGCTCATAATCTATTATTACGAATTATCTGTTGTTTATGCTACAGGAAATGAAAGTCTATCCCTTCTGTTCACTAAATAAACAACGCCATAGACATAACAGAACCTACCGTGCTAAAAATATTACCTTGATACAAGAAACTTGACAAATAAATTAAATATATGATTAGATACAATGGCTATCACAAATTACCATTAATTTCTAAGTATTAAATTGTTATATATAGTATTTTAAATTAAATATATTATACGTACACTTGTATTGTAATAGTCAAATCCATTTCGACTTTCTTTCGTTATAGGCAACAAGGTGTGGGAACACTGAGCGACGAATATATCATTATTGTCTTCTGAAAAAAAAAATATAATAATATATCTAATAAATAACACATACATATAAAAAATATATTAAGATTATAACAGTGCTTTCCAAATTTAAAATTTATACAGTTAACTATAAGTCTCTCTTACCCGCTACTTCTCTCTTTCTTCTATTTATGAACATGAACTGTGATTGTCTTTTTGTTCTATCTGTTGGGATCATTGACCTGTTCCGATATAGATTTAGGGTTGTCACTTCGCCCTTACACGTAACATTTAATCTAAAACAAACAAATCGAACTATTAAACTTGGACATTATCCTGGATTTGGCAGATAATCTTTCCCGAAGTTCTCCCAGGATGAGATCATTAATACTAGCTACATAATTCCGTTTCATCAACCGACTTAAAAAAAAGAGAAGGTTTTTAATTCGGTTGTTTTTTAGCTTTATTACCTCAGAACCCCACCATTTATAAACCGATTCGGTTTTTTTTTTATATATGAAAGAATATACTTTCTGATTGGTGTAATAGAAATGTTATTAAAATCGGTTGAGTTGTTGTTGTTGTAAAAATCTTTATTGTACATAAGTCAGATTAAATACTAGTAAATGATTTAGTATACAATGGCGGACTTATCCCATAAAGGGATCTCTTACAGTCAACCTTTGAGAAGCTGAAAGAAAACTGTAGAATGTATAAGGGTAATAACCGTACAATTAAAGATAAACTAAATAATACCCAGTAAAAAAAAAAAATTGAATATATAACACAATAAAAACAGCTCTATATACCTACATATGTAAATAATAAAAGTAAATTAATAATAATATAACATTAATAAATAAAAACTTATACACATACACATACATATATACACATATACACACATACATATACATATATATATACATACATACACATACATATATACACTCCTACATACACATACATGTATACATAATAAATACATATATTCACAATTGGCTCAATGAAGAGGGATTTTCAAAATAAAATTTTATGATACCTGCTTTAAAAGATTTCAGCGACTGTGCCATCTTTAAGTTATTAGGAAGTGAATTCCAGAGACGTGCAGCATGTACAGTAAATGACATGGCATAGCTTTGAGTATTAAAACAAGGCAAATCTATAATGAAGTCATTACTGCATCTCAGGCGAACATCAATTTCGCGAAATTTGAATCTTTCCTGAAGGTAATGTGGACATGTTGGATTAAAAAGGATATTGAAAAGAAGAGTAAGAATGTGGACATTTCTCCGTAGCCTGATAGGAAGCCATTTGAGTTGACTGCGATAACTAGATATGTGGTCATACTTTCGAAGGTTATAGATGTATCCAATACATTGATTTTGCAGTCGCTCAAGTTTATCAACAAGCTCCTGTGTGGGATCTAGGTAGGCAACATCAGCATAGTCTAGAAGAGGAAGAAGAAGAGATTGAGCCAGTAAAAGTCTAGTTCCTAAAGGGAGGAAGTTCTGCAGGCGCTTTAAGGAATGTAGTGATGCGTGGATTTTTCGACTTACTTCACCTATATGAGGACCCCATGACAGTGTCTGGTCTATAACAATTCCCAAATTTTTAACAGTAGTGGAATATGGGATTATTTTTCCATCATAAATAACGTTGGGAACTGTTAAATACCGAAGTTTAGCAATAAAATGAGAACTACCCATAATGACCGCTTGAGATTTATCTGCGTTAACTAAAAGCCCAAAATCCTTCGTCCACTTAGCAATTACGTTCAAATCATTATTAATTACATCTACAGCATCAGTAAGGTTGAAGATGGGAGCAGCAGTATATAATAGTATATATAATGAGTAGGTAAATTTCAAATCAAAAATTCAGATCCGATTAAAATCAGTGCCTTTTTTATTTTTAAACAAAATCTACTCCTGTATTTTGATAATCTTAACAAATGAACTAATTTTTCAGTATACCATTAAATGACAAGATTAAAGGGACTCATTTTCGGAATTAATCGACTAAACACCTTCTTCCACCGTGCGTTTTTCAAGGTACTTTCTTCCACGCACAACCATTCTTTGGAATCAACTTCCAGCAGCAGTATTTCCGAACCGATACGACAACATAACCTTCAAGAAAAGAGTATATTCGTTTTTTAAGGCCAGCAGCACACCTGCAATGCCGCTGGTGTTGTGGGTGATCATGGGCGGCGGTAGTCACTTACCATCAGGTGAGCCGCATGCTCGTTTACCCCTTGCGTTGTAAAAAAAAAACACCTCTTCTCTCTGTGGTGATTTGAAGATTTTTATTAACACATAAATAGGAGCTTCAACACTTGCTAATATTATAAGTATAAACGCAGATTAATCTGTTTATCTATGTGGCACTATTCAGCGCCTTAACTACCCAAGCAATAGTCATAAAATCATACACTTTGTATTTGAGACAAAGAAGGGCATGATTGCTTTTATCTCAGTTAATCAGTATATCACGGTCACGTTGTTAAAAACTAGGACATTACATACACACCTTAATTTATTGAAATCCATTTTCAAGAACACAATAGCCGGATGCTGCGGCGATACACCGGTCTTCTCGATCTCTTTCAGGAAACACGTGTCCGTGTGAGGATCCATGTACGGGCTTATAGCGTCATTCATGGTTCGATCCAGTGTAAATCCATACTGGAAAAACAATCATACATTACTTATGATCTGTTTCAATAATTGACTGAACTAAAACAATGTACTGATGTCCAATAGTAGCACTATTTCATTAAAAACATATTATTTTTATGTAACTTAGAATGACAAACAAGCTGACGGCCCACCTGACGAAAAGTGGTAACCGTCGCCTATAGACATGAGCAGTACCATGGACATAACAGAGTATACTGATTCGCCCATGATACCCCCTTTATGCGTTGCCATTCCTGAGGACTCAGGTGTTATTCCTCTGTACCCTGTAAATGCTCTGCCATATCCCATCCTTCAAACCGAAACACAGCCATTCAAACACAACTGCTTCACGGTTGAAACACGAATGGGACAAAGGTACCCAAGCATACGGATTTCGTACAGTCTCCTTCCGGATTTTAAAATATAAAGTGAGAAACAAGTTCAATATTACGAATATTTGTTATTTCGACTATACCGAAGAAAGAATAGAAATATATATGGGTGCCAAGTTTTATGTACAAAAATTTAAATTTACAAGTTACAAGAACATACAACATCATAAAATGGATTTATATATAAATTTCTTGTTTCTTGTACTACTAACATGTTTACTACTTGTAATAGGTATCACAAATTATTAAATTTTAACAGACAATTATTTACATAATGCATATGTTTCATTTTGGGATATAATTCAAACTTAAGATTTGGCTTGACTAGTGTTTATGTACAGGCATTATTATATTTATTTAATCAACTTATCTTCATTGAGTCATAGGCAAGCTAGTGCACGTCCTATTTTTACTGTATTTATACTGTCGAATTGACATAATACCTACATTGCTTTTCTAGCATTTGGTTTGTTGGTAAAATCTAGCCAAGCCAAATCTTGAACTACAATTACATACCAAGTGAAATAAATGTATTGTCTAAATAATTGTCTGTTAAAATTTAAGAATTTATAATATCCTTAACTTCGTTATTTCTTTGTTGATTCTTATTATCAATATTTTTTTCATTTGCACATTTTTTCTTTTGTACAAACCTAATAGTTTACCCTGATGCCAAATATCAATGTCATCTTGAAGTGAGTTAGGTATTTTATCTATAAGTCAGTCAGTGAGTCAATCACAAAAATGCCAGTTTTTAAACGTATATCAATAACTGTTTGAGCAATACTTATTTAAAACTAAAAAATTAAATTCTGTGACAACTGTTGCTGTTTTAATGATCGTTACACCTCATTACACCGTGTAAACTGTGTTGACATCCGCTTTTTTATTCTTGCATCTATCCACGAAAATCCGAAAATAAAATACCAGTACCTACACTATTAATTAAAGTGTATTATAATAATAAATGCTGTGTCATCCTGGCATAGAATGGACCACGCCTTCCTTTCCCTTGGGTGTCGTAAGAGGCGACTAAAGAGACTTAAAGGTCAAGGGATAGGCAGCCCTCTTAAAACATCACCAAAGTCTATTAAATATATACAAATAAATACTTATAAATATATACATTAGATCTATCTACACAACACAGATATAACTTGAAGATATTTTTAAAATGTCATATGGCAAATAGAATTTTAAATATTAATAACTCCGAAACAATTATAAGAAAGATATAGTATTAAAACAGTGTGCCTATCTCTATTAAGAGAATTAATATAAGCTAATTATACAAAACAACTATCCGAATTACAATCAAATTTACTATAATAAAAAAAGCATTTTGAGGTCGTATAGTGGACTAGCCAACCACTAATGGATCAAAGTGTTGAATGGCAGCCACATACAGCAAAAGAAGTGTACGACAACACCACATTACATGATGCAACGAACTCGAATATATTTGGAACAACCGATCCTTGTGTTTGTTTACAAAGGAGGTCTATGTACAATTGTAGACATACGATACAGTAATTGATGATAACGAAGTGCATGATATGTAATCATGGAACTACTGAGTAGTCATTCTGTCTTCCAATTATTGCATCCTATAAATAACACAATTCCTAATAGGCGTAAGTACCTAAAGAATGTATTTCAGAACTAGAGATAAAGAGGGACAGAATAACCTCTTATCGTATGTAAATTATAAATAACATTACACAGTGACGATCACACATTATTTGATGCTTCAATTACTTCATTAATAACATTAAATAGAGAATGTCGTGAGCCATACTGTAATGTTATTGCGATAATTCTAACTAATATAAACGCGTCCGTGTGGTATAGAAGAGACCACCCCTTCTTTCTGGGTGTCACACCTTTGTTACGACACCCACAAGAAAGGTGTTCACCTTTCCTATGGGTGTCGTAAGAGGCAACTAAAAGAACTTAGTGATAGGGAAGAGCAATGTCCTTCTTAAAACATCTCTAAAAGCCTAACTGCGGTTGCTAAACCGCCTGCCAAGCGTGGTAACTACTAGCAAAACTCCCCTTATGGGGATGTTCAGCAGCGGTAAGTTAACGTTTTTACAACACAGGGGGCAAATGAGCATGCGGCTCACCTGGTGGTAAGTGACTCCTTATTTTCTTCTTTTAATTTCTTTTTTTTTTTTTTTATTTAGACTTTTTATTATTTATTTTCTTTTTTTTTAATTTAGCCTTTAATTGAACTGAATTTAATTTCTTTCTATTTGTATACAATTTTTTGTTATTTGTTTTGTTTTAGTTTCTTTTGTTCTTGTTTTGTGCGCTACTGTGTGGGCCGCATGCTTCTTCGATTAAATTATTTCTTTCTTTCTTTCTACTTATAGCTTATGTAGTAAAATTTTTTTGACTATTACAAAATGTAAGTTTTTTGTGATAACACCAAAAATGTAATACTTAGATATTCGATTACATATTATGGTAATTATTACTTTCTTGTCTATCTTATTCTTTAACTAGCTGTTTTCAGCGGCTTTGCTCGCATAAATCAATACATAAAGTATGTTATGTATTAAATTAGGATATGACCTACCTGTGTACCAAATTCCATTCAAACACACATCTAAACATACCAACATCTGTACAAATATTCACATTTATAAAATTAATAGGATTATTAAATTTAACAAAAAAAAAACATACTTTGATAATGTACTATTATGCTAAGTATAGAAAAAAATATTATACAGTGCTGCCCGTTGCGGCCAGTGTCCTGTTGAATCATTAAGTATAAATAAAGGAAATATATACATACCTCGCCATATACAGGTCCGGTGGGCAGTTTAAAATTGATCATTCGCACGTCCAGCACCCCTCCGCGGAAGAAGCCAAACGTGGTGAGATCCACGTAATGACGTTCATCATCCTGTGGAAACAATGTTATAATAATAAATGTGATCAGTTAGATTTATTTAGATGCTTGGCAAGGGCTGCCTGGCCTCTTAATAAAGGCACCTCAAATATATCCTTGCTTACATTCGGGAGTAAAAACCACACAGTTCATTAATGGGTACGGCCCACCCAGCATACCCTTGTATAAACCTATAATGATTGGCTACTAATACTAAATTGACATATCTATGACCTAAACATTGATACAAAAAAAAAAAAACGAAACGCAAAATCTAAGACAAAAGAAACGCCATTGAATTATATATAATTTGTTTGAACAGCCGCATTCAGACAAATTATACATCATCCAATGATATTTGTAGCCAACTGTGCCGAAATGTTCTTACAAAATTTGTAAAAATATTACTACGTTTCTAGTAGTTTCTCCTTTAATCCAGTCCTGCGATAACTACTTATTTCTTTCCATATTAAATCAGAACAATATACGGAGTAAGTTTCGGAAAGCAATTTAAAAAAAAAATCCTAGACTCATTTGAGTCTAGGATTTTTTTTTTTATATCTATAAACCTAGATAACTTTTTAAACAACTTTTTTGCAACTTAGAATAGCAAACAAAATGACGGCCCACCTCACGAAAACTGGTAACCGACATCTATAGACATGAGTAGTACCATGGACATAACAGAGTATACTGTTTCGTCCGTGATACCTTCCATACGTTGCCATTCCTGAGGACTCAGGTGTTATTCCTCTGTACCTTGTAAATTCACTACCATATCCCACCCTTCAAACTGAAACAGCCATGCAAACAACTGCTTCACGGTAGAAAGACGAACGGGACAGAGGTGCTCAAGCAATCGACTTTTGTACAAAGTCTCCCTCTAGTGTTGGTATATCATATATTAAATTATATTATAATATATTAAATCAAATTACATAGTCATTGTGCCTATGATATTCACTAATATATCCAACAAACTACTGATTACATGTAAGTATTTCGACATCAGAAATGGTAAAACAGGGATAACCATATGTAAAAAATAAACTAGTATATATAATCATCAAAAAAAAAATTTAATTCGCAAGTTTTCGCTTTAATTTTTATTTAATAAACTAGCCATTCGCTTCGGGTTCGCAAGGATTGATAGATATAAAGATAAATTAATATTTAATATTAGCTTTAATAAGTAAATTATATGACACTTTGGGTTACATTATTCTAATTTTAGTTTTTGAAAATAATGTACAGCTCTTGTTAGTCACTGATAAAATAGCTTTAAAATCGTTTGAGTAATTTTAAAGTTTATTCATTACAAACAAGCAAACATACAAAAAATCGAACCTTTCCTCTTTATAACATTAGTACAAAAATATTGATAAACGTTTTTATATCAAGCATATCTTTGTTTATCCACTTTTTATACTTTGTTTACAGTCTGCTAAACAGGAAATGTCCATCAATGCATAACAAAAATGCCGAGCCTACAATTCCGCATATAGCTAAGATATCATAATGTCACCTTAGTATTTACTAAGAAAAAGTTCTTAGAAACACCTACTCGATCAACAGAGTAAGAGATTTCGCACAGACGAAGCTATAAAATGTAATATAATCAAATGTTTATTAAACAAATTGCTCATGTTTAAATTCGCCTAGCATTTTTTAAAATGTGGCGAAGAATGCACGTATAGACGATGATGATGATTATGAAGAATTTAAGAAATTAAATGTGTGTGTTGATACACATTTTGGCGCCATCTCAATACTGAGAGTCGAGATTGTGAACTTGCCCGTAACAGCCTCTGGCGTTTTTTGATGGAACTTCGAATGATTAACAAGTAGTTAAACATGGACATAATCATAGACAGTTATCATTACTAAGGACTTAGTTGTAATCCTTATGTATCCTGTAATTTCACTGCTATATCCCCACCATTTATGCCCTAACACAGGTATACAAGTATAGCTGCTTGGCAGAAAAGACATGAATGGGATAAAAGTCACCATGAGAGAACAGAATTGTTAGCGAAGGAGTCCTACTAATACACCCCATACCATTAGCACGACCTCCACATGGCTCAACCTGAAACCATCATTATTAAATCTTGTAGAATTCATCATGATAGTCCAACTGACTTGCTTTCATTCTCATTTATCAACCTGCAATAGTGCTCCGCAAGCATATATTGATAGTTCAGGTGGAGTTACCATTCCATTTACATACATTAAAAAATGACATTAGTACAATGGTAATTAAGTTCGTTTAGTTGTATAATCTATGTATATGAATTAATAATTCACATAGATAATACATAAGTAACAACAATATTCTCAATGACACAGAAATAACATGTTCGCATATGCAAAGAAATAATGCAAGCAAAAATTTTATAATTAATTTTATAGCTAGCTATGTAACTTCTTATTGTACCATGTAGCAAGCAAATAAATATGATTTGATTTGATTTAGCATATTTTTAAATTGTCTATAGTCAAAATTTAAGAATAAGAATCAATGCAGATAGATGGGATGGTGTATAAGTTATTTGATTGGATAAGACAATAAGAATGTTATTATATTTATTCTTCTAGAATTCACCACAATTTGCTATCTAAACTGCTTTAATCCTCAACTATCAAATCTCACTGGTGTCCTGCCAGTGTATGCTGATACTTGCTAGGTAACCATTCAGTTTTCACCCAATAAAAAATTTGCATTGTGGGGGAAGGCAATAATAATAATAGGGTCTAAGAATATCATTGCCAGTAATGTACCTCCATACAGTCCCTTCTGGTAAACACCATAGTTAGTTCCTAGAGAATATGTCACAATTGGCTCAGTGACCTAACTTCGTTCTCACCTATGATCACTTCTTGGTGCCCAGACAGCACATAGATCAGTATGCGTTATCAAGTGCAGACATGATTATTATTCCATCACCACCTCATTCAAAAAATGTGCATTAACTTCCTGTTAAATTCATCATAAGGAGCCAACTAGCCTGATTTTATTTGCATTTATCCAATTAGTGATAAATCACTAGTACCCCATCAGCATATACTAACAGTGTAGGTAGGTTCGATTGCTTGGGTACCTCTGTCCCATTCGTGTTTCAACTGTGAAGCAGTTGTGTTTGCATGGCTGTGTTTCGGTTTGAAGGGTGGGATATGGCGTGAATTTACTGGATACAGAGGAATAACACCTGAATCCTCAGAAATGACAACGCATGGAGGTATCATGGGCAACACTCTGTTAGGTCCATGGTACTGCTCATGTCTATAGGCGACAGTTACCACTTACCATCTGGTGGGCCGTCAGCTTGTTTGCCATTCTAAGTTGCATAAAAAAACCCATTTTCATCCATTAAAAACACATGTTCATTGCCTATCCTAAAGACTCATATGCACAATGGCTCCAATGAAAGGCTAAAAGCAGAAAAGTTCAATGTATACTTGCCTATCCTAAAGAAACATTACTGCACACATTTTGAAAAACCTCATAATATAGTCAATGTTTAAAATTTTGCATTACTGTGATACTTATCGGTATACCACCCTAACTCATAAAATGGGGAGAAGGGATTGTTAGTAATGGGATCTAACATCCCCATAACTAGCAATATTCCATATCAAACTGATCTCTATATAGTTCCCCTTAGAAACCATTCTGGTTAATTCTTGTCTAATTTGTCATAACGGGTCAACTGATCTGCATTTATTCTCACCTATCATCTCTTACTGGCACCCTGTCAGGGTGCATATTCTGATAATGCAGGTGGGGTTACCATTCCAATTTCACCTAAACATGGTCTAGCCTAGTCTAGGTTTAAAAATGATATAAACTCTAGATTACCATTCTATTTTTATGGATTAAAACAAAACATAAAATATTATAAGATGTTCACAGTGTGTGACATCCTTTACAGATTCTATATGCTATTATTACTCTATATTTTATATGCAATAATATGATAACGGCTAAATTAAATAAAAATCATTTACTTAATAAAATCCAATGTTTTTTTTAACATTGGATTATATGTAAGGATATCTGTATAATAGGAAATTTTATCTACTTATTATGTTTACATAAATTTTAAAAATAACAATGCAACGATTTATTGCTATTGAGGAAACGTTATAGTATTCTAGTGGAAAACGCACACAAATAAAATAACAATATGTTCAGTGTTACACACAGAACAGGCATCTAAATAATTTCATTACAATAACGATTATTGCTAGCGCTGTAAATGTCCAAAATCAAGATAGATTTATAAAATGCAAGATAAGTAATAAATAGTACATCGTATTACGTAGAACGCAATATTTGTTTAATAAAAACTGGGTAACTTACCGTAAGCGGTAGTTTGTGTATTCTGCATAACACTGCTGCACTCATATAGAGGATGAGTAATATAGCTTTTTTCACTGTATAAATCATATTTCATGACTATAATTATCACTATTTTGTAATATTTAACACAGTTGAACAATTCTTTGCACCTAATTACAAAAGAAATGAAAACATAGTTCCAATCTGCCTTCTGTAAGTGTAATGCAAAATTTCAGATCAGTCACTATTCAGTGATGGACTGACAAACAGGCGAAGTTAGGGTTGCCAGAAGCAATTTTTTATTTTTACCCTCATAATTAAAATTTTTATTTCTAAACCGATACGATTCTTCACTTTTACGTAATAGTAAAAATATTTTGATTTCCACTACGTTTCACCGCGTAATTACAGACCAAACGACAGAAAAAAGCCTTTACTAATTTTTACTTCCCACACCCTCTATTTTGCTATTTTCATTTGTATCTTTTATTGTAAGTTATTATATTTACTTAGTACTGTACCATTTACTGTTGATCTTCAGCTCCAAGAAATCAACTATTTTTTTAATAGAAGAAGCAAGATAAACAATACCTAATAATATATTATTATAGAATTTAATAATTAGCAAATACACAAAGCAAGGATTGTTTTTGAATGTGTATCAATTAAAAAAAACCTTTTTTTTTTAATTTTATACGTACATATCTGTTACGCCAGTATCCTTCTTTTAACTACAGCCTTTCACTAATAACAGTTGTACAAAAATAAACATATTTCTAATTTTTACAAATACCAAAAATGTTGAAAAAATTACAAAATTTTCCCCAAATTCGTTTTTCTAAACATTTTTTTAAGAATTTTTTACCTAAAATTTGGAAAAATACCCACTCAGGTAATGCTGAACCAAGCGGAAATGCAATCAAACGAACGAATGATGACCAGAGTCCATAGATATCTAAATAGAGTAGATGGACAATGTTGATGTTAATTCGACACAATTTTTTTATCTAGAGATTGATAACATTAACATAAAACCACAACTCGATATCGAAATACTTTACGATTCGAAATAAATTAGGGTATATTATTGTTATGTTAACACCTACGTATCGAAATACTAATTGCAAGTATTTGTCTAACAAACATATCTGTTTGAGCCATCGCACTTTCTTTATTAGAATCAGTAAAAAAAAAAAAACAGATGGCATGAATATAGACGGCGTTACTGGTGATATATTTGTTAGAGCCTATAAATAGAAGTATAAAAAAAAATATAAATGAATTATGCTTACTGTCTTAAATGTGTTTGTTTATGATACTTACTTTATTTATTAAGCAAACTTTAATAAATTATTCGTTTATATGCTCATTTTTACTCATCTTTATGTATGCATTGCCAATCTGACAACGCCAAAGAAATCTGAAGGTTTACCATTATATGAAATTTTGAATTTTCGGACTTAATTTTGTGTTTTTATCCATATCAAAATCGGCCTAGTAAGCTTAACATTTGTTTGACAGAAGTCCTACCATAATAATCCAAAGAAACGATATTTTAACATTTTAAATATTTTTGAACGGCATAATAATGTAATTTTAACAATAAAAGTTGTTCGGGCCTACGGTACTACCGTCGGTATGAAAAATTTCGTAATTAGTATGTAAGCTCATTGTGTTACATTAGTGTTTTACATCGCTATGTCACAGACAATCACAGGACGGTGTATAGTGCAGCGTGTGTCGCTTGTAGCAAATAATACCTAATTAATTATGTATACCTAAATATTCTTTAAGTTATTCAGTGTCTGATGTGTGAAATGAAAACTATATAATTAGCTACTACCAAAATTCATATGTATGTAGTCGCGGGCAAAAGCTAATATCAATTCAATATTTGTTTAATATATAGTTGTCGATACTATATACAATTTGTACCACTCAAATCTAGTTCGTAAATCCAGCCAGACTTCAATCAAATCAATCAAACATCATTCAATTCCATTCACTTGTTTCAGCTCTTTTACCGATTCTATAATAAAAATTAATAATGAAATATTAATTTTGTGTTATAATTTTAGGTAACGGCCTTTAAAATATATCATAACTCACCCACTGTATTTTTTATATAATTTTATTACAAAGTTTATGAGCTGAAATCTATTATATTTACTTATATGAAAATAATTCCAATACAGTAAACAAGTTAGTTGCATCACTTCTATCGTTACATACATTCCACAGAAAACTGCTTTTATTTTGATCATCTTTATTTCATAATAAGTGGAAAACTGTGCCACGTTATACAAGTAGTGTTAGACAGGATTCTATACAAAATAGAAACAACTTTTCGTTTCCTACGGATAGGTAAAATGAAGTTGTTCTTTCAATGTTTGTTTTCACCAAGGCTCTACAAAATTTACAGAGATGGATCATCTGATGTAAGTAATATATTTTTTTTATTTAGCTATTTTAAATGGAACGTGCATAATCAATATAATTGATGACAGTATTGATTATGCATGTTCATCTACCTTTGCCTTGTCCCATGTTGAATGATAGATAATCTGTATAATTAAAAATCGATTACATCGAGTATATGTAAGCTTTTCAGTTCAGAATGGCTGCGCCTATTTGGCTATTTCTTCTTTTTGTTATATTTGTCTTACGGGCCAAGATTGGTCTGAAGGAAAGTACTGTGTAAACTCTATATAACAAACTTTATTTAACGAAAACCTCTTGAAAATGTAGAAATTGATAAGGTTTGTTTGGTTTACATTGTTACCCTTTTAACTACCTATTACCTTTTTAACTAACCACTGAGATACAGGCTCAGCCTAGTTCGGTGGCTAGTAGATGTAACTAGGTGTAAATTGTTATTAAATAAAGATTTATCATTATCATTATCATTACCCTTATATGAAAACAGTTTTTATAGTGTTGCAACCACTCTCAATAGCGAAATAATACATCATTATTTTGACTCCAATAAACATCAGTTTCACTGAATTTTAAACACAATACTGTCACAGAATCATAAATATTTAATTTTTATTCTAAAAATATCTTTTTATTTAACCAAGATGATCCCACTATTATATACATTACAGTATTTTAATGTGACATATGCAATAAAATACTGGTATAATAAAAAATTACAAACAAAGATAACTATGACTTTGTTATGTAATTTTTTTTGCTTATAATAGTCAAAATTAAAATGTACTTATTTGTAAAATTATATGTTCTATTTACATTCTGTTTAACGAAAACTCTTTATAATGCATTAAAATATCTGATCCCTTCAACTTCACTATGTAGAGCCATCACAGTATTTAAAAAATTGACAAATAAAGTTAAAGTATTATGTTAAAAAATTATAAAGGATAAATACTTAACAATGAAATATTTTATTGTTTATATTTCTGTATCTTAATGTGTAATTGTTTTTTTCTCCTTTAGACTATGTACCAACCATTACGATTGGAGAAATTGGCTGACAAAGTAATTACTTCGGTAAGAAATATTGTTTATAATAAATGATATTATAATGATAATAGTTTATACTTGCAATTTCATTTGCAAATAATTGTCTTATATATTATTCTAAATCATAAACAATGTTCTATTAATTTTATTATTTGTTTAGCTATTTGTTTGAGAAACAAGCATTATATTTTTCACATAATATTAAATATAGTGTTTGTGTATTGAGCTAGTTTGTTTTCAACTAACTTCAAAGAAAGAGGTTCTTAAATCAGTTGTATTTTTTTATGTTTAATACGAGGTCTGTCCGGAAAGTTCGTATAAAAGTGTTCTGGAATGCGAGAAAGAGGAGTGGGGAGGCCAGGTAAGCGCAGGACCCCTTCCTTATGTCCCTAACAATGCTTCAGTTCTGGTCTGACCGCCGTGCGGTGCGAACTGGCTTGTCACGCCATCTGTGAAGTTACCTCTTAACGAAACCCCGTCGGCATGGAGCCCGCTTCCGTTGAAGAGCAGCGCGTCGTAATCAAGTTTCTCTCGAAACTCGGCAAGAATGGCCGTGAAATTTTTGCCGATCTCAGAACAGTAAAATCCCAAAGCAAAGAGTGGAAGACATCCGGGGAACCACGAACAAAAAAATCAAGAAAATCCCGCTCAAATGTCAAGACAATGTTGATTGTTTTTTTCGATGTTCGGGGGATTGTCCATCAAGAATTCGTCCCTCCAGGCCAGACAGTTGATGGAAAATTCTACGTCGATGTGCTCAGACGCCTCAAAGCTCGTGTGGCACGAGTTCGTCCAGAATTGGCGCGAGAGGGGCGTTGGATTCTTCACCACGACAATGCCCCTGCCCACACCTCTCTTGTTGTCCGTGAGTTTTTGAGTAAAAATTCCATTACGGTGACCGAACACCAAATCTGGCGAATAGGGGGCTATTCGCCAGATTTGGCCCCGTGTGACTTCTTCTTGTTCCCAAAAACCAAATTGGTACTTCGGGGGCGGCATTTGGGGGACATAAATGAGATAAAAAAAGCTACGACGGCGCAGCTGAGAAACCTACAACCAGAGGACTTTCAAGGAGCCTTCTCACAGTGGAAACGGCGTTGGCACAAGTGCATTATGTCACAGGGGGAGTACTTTGAAGGGGATAAAATTGATTTACCTGAATAATTGTAAAATAAAATTTTTAAAAAACTTTTATACGTACTTTCCGGACAAACCTCGTACTTCATAACTTCATCAGTCATAAACTTGATTTTTATCTGAAAATATATACTTACAGATTGGAACCATACAAATTTTATCAAAATCGGTTGATTAATTTAATTTTTAAATCAAAGTAACTGGTTTTAGCAAAATTAAACTTGTTTTTTTTTTAATATATATTATAAAAATTTTGATAATTAGAATTTTATTTATTTATTAAATTCATTATTTTCAGGCGCATACAATGATGAACATAGCAATATACACATCACCATTTATTTGCATGTATATTTATAAACGAGGATTCAGTGTAATAGAGGAGAACAAATATGCATTAGTCCGTTTCTTTGGTGGCATTGGATGTCTTCTAGCATTGTCCTATGTGATCAGGGGACTCGGCAGATTTTATAATCAGAAATATGTTGATTTTGTGAAAGCATTAAAGAGCCCAATGACTGATAAAGGATCATATTTAGAAGGAATTAGGAAATATGATTTTGAGTTTTATGCTTGGCCAACCACATTCATCATGCCTCCGAAATCTAGGTATGACACCACTCATTGGTTTTTTCGCCTAATATATTCTAAATGTTATAATATATGTATGTATGTTGAATTGTATTTTGGGATGTATTGTAAAATGACGAATGAAGAAATGTGTAGCATAAATGAGTAACAAATATACAAACTCTTTATGTAAGAGTTGCGGGTTCAATTCCTTGTCAGGTCAATTTAGGAAACAAGTTTTATTGAATTTGACTAGGTCAGGGTGTGCTGTGCAATGACCTTAGATATTAGCTGGCTGATTTCTTATAATATTCTAGCTTGAAAACCAAGCAATTAGTGCAATCGTGGAACATTTTTATTATTATAATTAAAATTTGTTTCAGTCCACCGTTATTGCAGAAGAATCCATTTACGAATTGCGCCAACAGCGATCGCCCTCTGTATCAGCGGCTGCCCATACAGGTGTTAGCGTTTATCGCTACACACGCGTTTGGATTGCGCCTTATCTACCCAGGATCCCTTGGAGTGATATCCAATTTATTTTGTAAATATAAATATTTATGAATATGTTTATTGACCTGGTTTAAAGTTATGTGCGTAAATTACCCATCATGTCCTATTTCGATTTCTTTGGCTTGTGTGTTTACTACTTTACATAATGTTTTAAGATGTTTATAGCGACTTTTTTTTTGCTTATTACTGTAAGTGCTGGATAAAACAATACTAATAGCTAATTAAAATCATTTCTTATGATAATTAAAGTGTGTTCACGCAAAATAACCCGACTTTAATTGTGATAAAACCGGTTACTACTAAACTACTGGATCGATTTCGATAAAATTTCTATGGGACCAATTTGTAAGCATATCCTTATAGATAAAAAAAAAGAACTTTTCAAATTAACTTACCATTGACGGAATTATGGGGTCACAAAAAAATACAGCCAAATTGAGAACCTTCTTTTTGGGTTGTTGGGTTGTAAGTGGGTTGAAAATTACGTGATTCGTTACTGTCACTAATATAAATAGATGACATCTGTACACGCGCAATGAGTATGTGTATATATCAAAGTCTGTAATTTCTGTATTAGAACGGTAATTTCAGTCACAGCGTGGGGTAAGATGGACTAGGGAGAAAGTAGGGTGTGGCCATATTATACTTATATTCTGTTACACCCTCGACGCAAAGTTTTGCTAGCGTTAATAGAGCTGGATTTACGAAGTGAATCCTGTTAATTATTTATTTATAATTTCTATTTTATTTAAAATATTATTCTTAGATTACATATATAGATAGCGTCGAGTATTAGAAACCGGGTCAAAATGTTGTCAGCTAAATTGACGATTGATTGACCTCAGTAAATTGTGACACATTATTTTTAAGTCAAAACAAAACTTGCTGTTTTTCAACGTTACATGTAATTATGGTTGATTTTTAAAATTTTTATTATATAGTATAATTTCTCCCATCATCATACACATTACAGCCATTTTTCGTTCACTGCTGGACATAAGCCTACCCCATAGAATTCCTCCCTTATACAAGTAATATCTGTATAATGTAAGCTATTATGGTGACTCCTTAGGATGTGTAACCATTTTCACATTTCCCTTTTTTTTTATATTCCAGGGAACCCATTGTTTCAAGGTAGAACTCAATTAGTAGAACAGTTTAATGGGCAACGTACAAAATTGAAGACAGCAGATGGTAACACCATTGATACAATGTTTGTTGATCATCGGAATCAATCCACAAAAGGCAAATACTTAGTAGTATGCTGCGAAGGGAATTCGGGTTTCTATGAAATTGGCATCATGGCTACACCAATGAAAGCTGGCTATTCAGCATTGGGCTGGAATCATCCAGGATTTGCTGGGAGTACGGTGAGTTAATCTCAAAATGTAACATGTTGTACATAAATTAGAACCAATTATTCTATATATTGGTTTGGAAGCATCCAGGTTTTGCTCAGATAAAGGTTTTAATGATTATTGATTTCATAGCCTAACAAATTTTACATAAAATCCATTATTATTATTTAATAGTAATTTATTTTTTGGCATAAATTCTGCACAAAAAAAGCAAATCCAGGATGCGTTGGATGTATAGTGGATTATTTATGTTACTATTACAAATTTTTGTAAAATAATGAAGTTTTAATAAAAATATGGAACATCTGAAAATAGTTTGTTTTAAAAAATTGTTACATCACTATGGTTAATAAATTTATCATTCATTTCAAAAATTATATAATAGTAATGTTTCCAGGGACTCCCATACCCGTCTCAAGAGCAGAATGCAATAGATGCAGTGATGCAATATGCTATCAACGAGCTTAACTTTCAACCTGAAAATGTGGTGATGTTCGGATGGAGTATTGGTGGATACTCTGCCACATGGGCCGCTATCAACTATCCTGTGAAGGCATTGGTAAGTCATATAATCATTACAGTCTATTAAGAATTTGTATTAAAAAAAAAAAACAGTTATGGCTTAGTTATTTATACATAATTTTTGTTGGTTGGAGTACTTATCTTTAATTGCATTATAAAATTCTGGGTCACTTCTCATAATTTTACATATTTCAAAAATATATAAGAATGTAAGTTTTTTGTGTTTTAAAATACGATCTGCAAATTTTTATTTTATACTTACCAATATTATAATACATTTATTTTGTAGTACAAAAAGGTCATTAGCATTTGTATTATTTCCCCATATTGTTATTCCATAGGTTAATCAAAAATGCGCATAAGCAAAACATGCACATTTTGCAGTTTTAAAGTGTATTGCTCTTTTTAACTCGTATAATGCATATGTAAATTAAGACAATTTTCCAACTATTTTGCATGCATTATTCAATTGATATTTGTGTCGACACACGACACTCATGGGAAAGGAAGGGTTGGTCTATTCAATACCGGGACCACACGGTAAATTGTAATGTTTATTTCCTACAAAAGGCACTTAACAATTACTTTACATCAATTTTTGCTACTGAATTAACTGTAACGCTTTCCTATAGAATAAAAAAAAGTTCTATACTAAAATATATTTTTATTTTTGTTCGCATTAATACAAACAGACTATTTTACAAATGGAGTTTCATGTGGAAATCAAACCGCAAATTTACAAATCGTATGCATTCAGGTGTTAGACGCAACATTCGACGACCTTCTGCCGCTCGCTCAGAATGTGATGCCGTCATCCTGGTCGCTGTTGGTCAAAGAGGTTGTACGCTCGTACGTGGACCTCAATATTGTAGAAATGTTGAAAAAATACACTGGTCCAGTGCACTTGGTCAGGAGGACTGAAGACGAAGTCATCTGTCTTATGTACGTTACATGAATTCATCATCTAAATTTCATGTATATTTTCAATATTTATTTAATTTCGCTTCTTGAATTGTGATATTAAAATTATTATGAAAAAAATCCCCAGACGGTTTAAGTATTAGACGCAAAAATAATGGCCTGCATAAATGTGGATTATTTATCCACTGATAAAATTTTCCTTTATTTTGTTATAGTGCAAAATTCATATGTGTACAGACTCTTTAAAATACAGTCGAGATTTGTCTGGTGTCGGACTTCAAAGCACGGGCCAACAAAGCAAGCAAAGGATAGTTATTTACGTGAACGAAATGTCTTTCTATGTTTTGAAGTTGTTTAAAAGATACTCTTGATATTAAAACCTCCTTTTTCAAGTCGATCGATGAAGTGTGATTTTTTTATTTTAATTTTTATTCACAGACCCGGCGTGACATCGACTAACCGTGGCAACTATTTAGTAATGAGTCTAATTGAACACCGTCACCCGTTCGAAGATAGTGAAAACGAAGCAGCTTGGAAAAAAGCGCTCCATAGTCACGTGGAAAATTTAGAGGCGAAACGTCCATTTGTGGACTCCGGCGATCTTACTATCTACGACATTAGGGCGATGACACTGGTAAGTACTTTTTTTAAATAACTGCTGAAGAAAATTGGTGTATCTACTAAAGCATAGGTGTCTTTGTTACACTGTCATGTCTAAGGTGGTAGTTACCATTTTCCATCAGGTGGACAGTCAACTCGTTTGCCATTCTAAATTGTATAAAAAATTTTTTTTCGGATTTTGAATATATGCAAGTGGGTTAAAATAGTTGATTTACAAGAATAATATTGTGTATTCATGAACGCTTGATTAGTGTCGGGACTGACCTATTCTAGTTTCGATAACTGATTGAAACTACTTACTGAAATGGTAACAAAACAATGATAAATTACGTGTCAAAGTGTCTTGTATAAACCTATACGAATTAATTTTTTTTTTTTTGATGGTTAAAAATGATATGGTAATCCCGCCTGCGCTAACGGGATACGCTGGCGGAGCACCAGTGAGGGGTGATAGATGAGAATGAAAACAGGCCAGTTAGCTCATAATGATGAATTCATCAGGAATTAACCATGATAGTTTCAAGAGAGAACCGCGAGGAGGTAGACCTGGGTATATTGCTAGCAATGGGATTCTTAGTCTCCATTATTAACAATCCCTTCCCCCCCCCCCCCCTCCTCCGAATTAATATATTGATATTGATTTTTTTATTTAACTAGCTGTTTACCACGACAATACCCGCAGGAATCAGTATATAAAGTATCCTGTATTAGGTTAGGATTTAAGCTATCAGTGAACAAAATTTTATTCAAATCTGTCCAGCCGATTAAATTTGATTGTTTAACGAATATACAAGTATCTTGATATCCAAACATCATTCCAAACTTTCTCATTTGTAATATTAGTAAGATTATAAAATGGCTGTCCGCATCTGTCTATTTCTATGTTTACATCTTCTAAACTAGGTAATATATTGAATTAAGTATGACTGTTCTGTGATATGTGATATATGATATAGCAATGTAATCACAGGCTATGAAGGTAACACTGTACTGTAGTCCTCAGAAATGGCAATGTATGAAGGATACATAAACATCACTGTGTATTCTGTAATGTCTATGGTCCAATTGAGCCGTCAATTTATTTGCCATTCTAAGTATCTCACACTTATACAACACGGTCAAAACAAAAACAAAATCAGCAATGTTCTTGCAAGGAAATAGAATATATTAAATATTGAATAGACAAATAAATTGCCTACTCCACTGCAAATGACAAGGCAATATAGGTAGAAATAAGGAAATTGGGTAAAATAGGTGTAAATGACACTTCTGGTATGTTGTTTCCTATTGCGACATATAGTTTAGTAGATCAATGTAAATTATATTAACAAAAATGTGTCACTAGCATAGATTAATAATAGTTCTGTTACTTACGTATCTTTTTGTTTGTTTTTATATGCAGTACTAATTTTTGCCCGCTACTTTGTATGTGTAAATTAAAAAGTAGGAAAACCATGAGGTAAGACACTTATAGATGGTCAAACAAGATAAAATATATACCAGATTTTAATTTCTCTGGAACATTTTTGTGGAAATCACATTTTATTTGGTACATTAGTTTTTGCGGAATGCCAGACCAAACATTAATTAATAATTACATTTAAAAAAGATTGGTTTAGCTTCTATTGCTTTTATTAACACTCCTCAGATCAATCTTTCTTAAATATCTCCCATATCTCGTCTAGTTACAATTTTATTACTTAGAAAACGCATTATTATAGTTCATTTAGTTACATTGGGGGCCTGTCCTCGCTATGATATTTATGTTATGCCAACTTTCTTTTTTGTTTGCTTTTTTTTTTTATTTTTCTATTTTATATTTTTGTTTTGTTGACAGATATCAAAGTACATGAGTGACTACCAGTCCACCCACTGCGTTCCTCTGCCTGCGGAACACTTCGAGTCCGTCATGAATTTTATCAATACATCAAAGTACAACAATCAAGCGAAGCTCTGAAAATCTAGGCCAAAAGTACAGTGAACATAATTTTTTTATTTGTGGCTTGAAATATTTGTGCGTTTTGTTATATTTCACGTGATTCTGCTCGCTGGACTTGTCAGGGATATTTTTTCTCGTAACGTCACATGTGAAACACGTAGACCAGTGGGATCACTGTTGGTAGTTTGTAAGTCAGGATTAGCAATGTTTCTAGGGTTTAATGCTGATTTTTTGTAATAGAAAAGTTTCAAATTTTTATTATCAATTGCAATTGAATTAATTATTTATTGTTATAATTAAATGTTATATGTGTAATTTAAAAAAACAATTTGTATTACCTTTATAAGCATGTTTATGGGTGTAAAAAAAAACAATAGAATACATTTGACATATATGCATAAGATATATGAATTTTTAATTAATATTATATAGATGTATTTTCATCACTAAAAGTGATTGACAACTAAATGATTGGTGGGAATTCACTCTAATTAATTAATTTATGTAATTTATTTGTGTGGTGCGTTTCTTTTTTCCATTTATATTTTGTATGAGGTTACAATCTTTGTATTATATTATTCTGATTAATGGGCGATTCCAGTTTATTCTGTTTTTAAAACTATATTTTATATACAAAGAAAATTAAAAATTTCTGTGAGATGGCTAATGTGAAACTTCCAAAACTTTTTCTTGATGGATAACTTGCATTTCAGGACTGTTTTTTTTTATATTTATAATGCATAGAGATTATAGTGGTAACTGGATTGATCCATAAGAATTATATTTTATTTTGAATTGGGTTTATCAAACTGTGATTAGTTATAAATTTTAACCACCCTTTTTATCTGGCTGCAATATGATTTTATTATTTACCCCTTTTGGAATTTTTATCTAATAAAATTATGGTGTTGATGTATTTTCTATTATTTTATCGGTGTAAAATTCTTAAATGTTTAGCATGGTGAAAACTAGATTAAAATCTGGCACACAAATGGTTTAGAGTCATTATTGACTGCATTTTTATGTATTAATGTTATTTGGTGTGGTTGCGTGAATTTATGTGGGTCTCAAAACTCAGTATATTTTATGATATTGTAATATAGCATTTAAAATATTTTGGCAATGGAAAATTCAATATTCATGTGTATAGAATTAAGAATAAAATCATTAATAAATATGTTCATCATAGAACTCTGTACTTTTAATTATTTAAACAGGTTTCTAACTTATTTGTTTATTCATTAAAATCCTTCTCTGTCTTATGTCTTATAGACTCGTTGTGAGTTCGAATCTGACACCAAAATTTGCTAGAACACGCCGTTAAAAAACGAAGGAAATGGTGGCATTATAATAGTACATTAATAATGCAACCGTTAATTGTCTACTGCTGATCATACGCCTCCTCATAGACTTTTTTAATGTGAAGATAAAATCGTAACCATTGCTTTTATACACTGGCGAAGCATAATTTTTTTTTTGATGGGTGAAAATGGAATGGTAACTCCGCCTGCGCCAACCGGATATGCTGGCGGGGCACCAGTAAAGGGTGATCGATGAGAATGAAAACAGGCCAGTTAGCACATCATGACGAATTCAAAAGGAATTAACCATGATAGTTTCCACGGAGAACCGCGAGGAGGTCGATCTGGCTGGGTATATTGCTAGCAATGGAATTCACAGACTCCAATACTAACAATCCCTTTCCCCCCGGCGAAACACCATTTTTCTTAACGGGTGATGATGGAATAGTAACCCCGTCTGCGCTATCGGTATACGCTGGCGAGACACCAGTGAGTGATGATAGATGAGAATGAAGACATGGGCTAACTCATCGTGTTGAATACACTCGGAATTTAGCACGATGGTTTCCAAGGGAGACCACGTAGAGGTCGACCTGTTTGGGAATATTGCCAGCAATGGGGTCCTTAGTCTCCATTATTAACAATCCCTCCCCCCCGGCGAAGCACCAATCGGAAAAGATTAAATAAGTTGAAAGGATGTCAGCTGACCCATAGTGATAAATTCATCAATAGTTAACTACAATGATTTGGGGAGAAAGGTATTGTTAGCATGGAGTTTGACAACCCGATTGCTAGGAATATATCCTATTAGGTCAACCTCCACGTGGTTTCCCCTGGAAACCATCGTGAACAATTCTTGTTGAATTCGTCACGATGGGCTAACTGACCTGCTTCATCCTCACCTATTATTCTTCACTGATGCCCCATCGGTGTATTTGGATAGCGCGGATGGGGTTACCATTCCATTATCACCTATTAAAAAAAAACTACAATGGTTTTCAGAGGTATCGCATGGAAGTCGACCTATTAAGATATATTGATTGCAAAAGATTTTTAGACCGCATTGCTAACAACCCCCTTTTTCTATCGATTGAAATAAGGAACGACCTTGAGCCACTTGTATCGACTGACTCACTGCAATGTATTTAATACCGTCGTTCTATCTAGTGAGAATCGTTCTACACTACGTTGGCTTGTGCGGGGTCGTCGCTTAAGAATTACTTTCCCATCCGTTATTGGGTTTTCGAATTAAGTGATCAGTCCATTGCTATTTTATCTTACTTATCCTTCGGATTATGTCGGTGACTTTAGTAAAATAAAACTTACATACGTATGTAAGTACTTGGTTTACTGAAACTATACGTTCTATATCTTATCTATGATTGTTCATTATCTATATCTGTGGATTCATAATGACATTGACAATAATATGAATGACATTGACATTTGACAATTGGAAATGGCCTTTTTTTGTAGAATTCATTTTAATAATAAAATAATTATTAAAATCTTTTATTAAACATTTAATAATAATGTATATACGTATTATTTATTAATGTGAATTTATTTCATTATTTGAGACACACGAATCAGTAAGTAAACATACTTTATAACCTTTTTGTAATTACATCGCAAGCAACACATGTTTTATATTTACTTGTTTTTCTCTTTCTTAAATCAAATAATCTTATTTTTTTTAAATGCATTAAATAAAAAAATATATAAAGTTTTCAATGTTGTGATTTGTTAGAAAGACCGGCCCTGATTTACTAAATTATTCTGAGAAAAACATTGATGCTGTAATGTTATGCAATAACTTCATATAATAACCTTGTGCACTCACCAGACCCATATATAGCTCCTTTTAACTCATACAGTAACACAATAATGACGTTAATATAAAAATTTTAATATTTCATAAAAATACTTGGAGGATTTCTTTCCAAATTATACAATTTATCTTTTAGTTATGATTATTAATTATATTTTCTTATTTTAGAAGTAAAATAAGAAAATATAATTTATTATCTAAATAAGTTAATAGTTTTAAAAGCTGTATATTTCCTTAGGTTGGCTGCTGGCGTTGGGACAGATTCGGAGACACCATTTCCTTAAATCTGTCTCTAAAATTAAAATTTAATATTGCAGTGACATGTTTATTGATTTGAATCAAAATTATTATAAATTTAGATTATGACGGTTCATGAAACAGTAATTTTGGAAAATTATTAAATTAAAATGTTAGATTAAGATGTATGTTTAGATTAGTGGTGTCTCACAATCGGCCCCATCACATACTATATATTTGTAATTAATAAAGTACAAAAATCATCTTTAATAGACTTGTTTTACAAAATAATATAATGATAAAGAAACAATATAGGTAATTATGTCCATAACAAATAAGTAATGGACATTAACAGTCACACTAGGACATAAAGATTAGCAAGTATAAAAAGTAGTTTTTCTCTAATTCAAATATTATTTAAATTATTTACTTTATTAATTATTTTAATGTGTAATGAATTATATACAATTTAATAGGTTTAGTTGTTCTTATATAATATTGGTATATGATTTTTGGCTCCATTCATTTTAAATGTTTTTATTATATTTATATATGTAACTAACTACACTAATCCATTGCAGGCTATGTCGCACATTAACGACTTAATAGGTGTAATGAGAGGTCTCCGGCTTGTGGTGGAGGCAGGTCTTAAAATCCAGCAAGAACATACTAAATTAATATGGAATAACTCAACTATCAAATCTCTTATACAAACATGCCCAACTAACCCACTCACAGCTTACAAACCAACTCCTGAAGTTGCAAAAGATCTTTTTGAACGTGCCTTGGTTGTTGCTCATGGCTTTAGACAGTATGCTATTATGCATGCACCTAATATGGAGTCTGACTTAGAAAAGAGAGCCGAAATGGATTCGCAATTGAAGGATGAGATTGAAGAGCTAAATAGAGAATTCAACAAGACATTTGAGAGTTTGAAGAAGGCAGAAGACCTCAAAATGAGTTCCATAGCAGTTGATCAACAGATAGTAGATCCACTTGAAAAAGTTAAAGCACAAGCAAAAACGCAGGAAATAAAGACACAACCTCAAATACCTTTAACAAAGTCTAATATTACTGCTGCTAGTGCTTCTGGTGCCTCCACATCTACCTCAACAGTACCCAAGCCTGTAGCCAAGAAGAAAATAAGGGTTTCTGTAAGTTTTATTTATATTAGTAACAAAACAATATGTTACTTAGACACGAGTGATACACATTAGGATTAATATCTAATATACAATAAATAGACAGTGTTTATTGCATGTCTCATACATTATCATCATCTCTACAAAGACAAAAGACATTATGATTGTCAACATTAAACATAAAAAAAATTAAATAAACTCCTGATGTCAATTTATGTCTCTAACAAGGCATAAATTATCTATTGTCATTTCTTATTTTACTATACATATCTTTTTAAATAAGCTCTGGATTATCTTTTCAAGAGTTTCCAGAACAGAAAACAAGAAGAATAAGTAGAAAATATAGTTGCTCAAAAAATAAGAGTAATTCACCACCCCTTGCTTTTTCTTGTAATTTTATTTTGCTAAGTTTACTATGAACAGAACTAAAAAACAATAAATAGTAATTATATATAATAATTCTTATTCCTACAGTTGAGCGAAAATTCAAAGGCTCGTGTGGTGCCATCTTCCCGTATCGGCCGCATGATATCATTCGGTTCTTTAGCAGCTGGCCTTGGGGTGGGCACAGTAGCTCAGTATGCGAGGAACACTATCCAGTCAGTGACGGGTCACGCCGACGAGTCCGCCAACGCTTTCTTATCACCTGCCAATGCTGAGAGGATTGTTGATACTCTGTGCAAAGTTAGAGGTTGGTTTTTATGTTATTTTAGTGCTCGATGTGGGGAGAGAATTGTTATTAATGAGGTTTAGCGGCTTCATTTCTAGCATGTACCCTATCAGGTTGATCTTAGAGAGGAAAACTGGAAACCATAACCACAATGATTTCCTAATAAATTTGTCACAATTGGCCAATTGAAACAACTAAATTATAAGCAATCATTATTGATTGGGATCCTAATAGCATATTCCAATAATTAGCATTCCATTTTCATCATAAAAAACACTTTGCTTACATAGAATTCTTACATTTTTATAACATTACAAGAAATCGAAATTTATAATCAACAAAACTTTATAATGTGTTTCTTGTTCATATTTTCCATGTATAAATTAAAACAAAAAGTTGTCCTTTCCACCAGGTGCAGCATTAAAACTGGGCCAGCTCCTTAGTATCCAGGACGACACAGTGATGTCCCCAGAGTTGCAGCGTATCTTTGAACGGGTCCGACAGTCCGCAGACTTCATGCCCTCGTGGCAAGTGGAGAAAGTCATGAGTTCACAACTAGGAGTCGACTGGAGAACCAAAGTCCAGCATTTTGAGGAAAAACCCTTTGCTGCTGCCAGTATAGGTCAGTATTATATGTTTCTACTTAACTATATATCATAGTAAATGTTTTAGTAGTTGTAATACCTCAAACACTCTAAGTTTATCAGATACCTAAATTGTATTCTATAATTAAGGCCTATAAAATCGAAGACAGCTAAATCCAAGTCTGATAAATGTCAGGAGACTACAAAAACTAATATTTTATCAAGGATATGGATCAATATTCTATATTTTAAATCAGATTGAAAAAATTAGAATATGTGTAATAATTTGAATTAATAGAACTCCCTCTATATTTGAGTACAGAGTGAAGATGAAATCGATTTTATGGCCTTTAATTTTAAAGGCCTCGACTGCTATTAGAGAGAAGTTGTTTACCATTAATAAATTGCAAGGCGGCAAAAATAATAACTGTTCAAAAATAAAAATTGTGTGAAATGATATTGATGTAAATGAACCTTTCATTATATTACCATTTGTAAACAGGTCAAGTGCATTTAGCTATATTACACAATGGTCAAGAGGTGGCTGTCAAAGTTCAGTATCCAGGGGTGGCCAAGGGTATCAACAGTGACATCGACAACCTGGTGGGCGTCATGAAGGTAAGGGCTGTTCCACTACTACTAGTTTTCTATATCTAACTTGATGAGTTTTCTAGACCTTTTAAAGAGTATTCTTACGGAACTGAGTTTGAAATATCTTTTTTGTAATATATTATTTTTGTATATTGCATTCCAGTATAATCCTATAGATATGTATATATATATATATATATATTTTGATGGGTGAAAATAGTATGGTAACCTTGCCTGCGCTAACGGGATACGCTGGCGGGGCACCAGTGAAGGGTGATAGATGAGAATGAAAACAGGCCAGTTAGCCCATCATGATGAATTCATCAGGAATTAACCATGATAGTTTCCAGGGGGTACCGCGAGGAGGTCGACTTGGTTGGGTATATTGCTAGCAATGGGATTCTTAGTCTCCATTAGTAACAATCCCTTTCCCCCTATAATGTATATTTGTATCAGAGTATTGCGACTTATGTAACCATATAAATAATAGTTTGCTGTATACTGTCATTATTAGAAAGACTATGGCACAAAACAGGCAACTTCAACCATTATTTATCATGCAAATATTATACCAAAGTATTATGCATTATTGTTTGTGTGTTTTTGTAATATTTAAATTCAAGTTTACAGTTAAAATATTTTATTATTACTATCTACCGAATAACATTTGCTTTGTTTTTAGGTATGGAATATCTTTCCTAAAGGCATGTTCATAGATAACATAGTTGAGGTTGCAAAGAAGGAATTAGCGTGGGAGGTGGACTATGTTCGAGAGGCTGAATGCACGAGAAAATTCAAACGGTTGTTGGCACCATACCCAGAGTACTTTGTCCCTGATGTCGTTGGTAATTATTTTAGCTATAACATATTTTGATTGTAAAAAAAAAGAGCACCATGTTCTTGGGAAATATTATGTAAAAATAAAACACCACTGTGACAATAGTAGTGAAAATACTATGTCAAATAAATAGTAATTTTCTATGCATTTTCATGTTTGAGGATCAAGTAAGTAATGTAGTAACTATTTTATTAGATGTAACCAGTAGCTTTGCCCCTATGTTTGTCTATGGCCCATCTATGTACCAAATTAAATTAAAATCGTTTAGCAATGTAAGCATAATTGAATAGAAAGCGTTCGTAAAATTTTCGTTTATATAATTATCTAATTCCTACGTCTTTGCCTGCTTGCATAAGTATAAAATCATCTTATATGTTTGCATATATCCTATTCGTGTACCAAATTTTATTCAAATCACACATTACTTAATTTATGAATGCATCGCTTACCTATTTTTCTGTTCAATGATTACCTGGTAAAGAACACCTTCCGTTGATAAATCCGCCAAATGTACATACAATTACATTGTTTATTAAAGTTTAAATTGATAAATGTATTCTTCTAACACGACAGTCACTCTTTACGACTTTCTTGGGATGGAAAAGACATATTGTGCTCTTACTCGGTCATTACATGGGCTTTATTAGTTTTATTTCGACGACCATGGTGTTGTAGCGGTTTAACACACCACCTTATTTTCCAATGATAGATAGATAAATAAACTTTATTTAAGCCATTTATGACACTTGTAAATTTGCAAATGAGTGTATACAATTAAATTATTTACATTTTTTTAAATAAAAAACAAAAGACAAAATACGAAAATATGGTTTCGCCATATGTGTCCCAGTGACCCAAATAGGCTACAGCTCAGTGATAGTTTTGCTTAAAAGCAAAACACTGATTTTCAGCTGCAGCCTGAAGTTAGGCTACACGGACGCGTACAACAAATCCAGAGTGTAACCTGTGTAACCAATTTAACAGTCAAAAATAAAATTGTATTATATAGATACAGACTTACATAAATGTTGCATAAATAATATATTTCGTTCAATGGTATTATGTTAGGTTCAAATACCATAAAATACAAACGTTTCTATTCATGACTATGGTAGTTTGTATTGGTCTGGGTGTTTTCTATGTATAATATGTATGTACTAGCTGTATCAGGCGTCTTCAACTGTGTGAATCAGTATAAAAAATACATATCCTTTGTGCTAAGTTGGGATATAACCTACCCGTGTACCAAATTTATTTCAAATACGCCATTAGTTTTTGCGCGGAAAGAGTAATAAACATTCATCCATCCATCATTACAAACTCTCGCATTTATTATATTAATAGGAACTACAGACAAAAATTTAAGTACCCATAGTATGAGCTGTACTTAATATGAAACTAGATGGCTCTGTAATATGTTCAAGGTTATTTATTATATATTTTCTACTTACAGGCGAGCTTTGCGCTGCCGAGGTAATGACCACAGAGTTGATTGACGGCATGCCACTGGATAAGTTGTTCGACGCACCAATGGAGACTCGGGTGGACATAGCCTCCAAGATTATGAAGCTTTGCCTCCGCGAAATGTTTGTGTTACGATGCATGCAGACTGACCCCAACTGGGCGAATTTTTTCTACAACGTCAACACTAAACAGGTGGGTTGAATTTGCTTCTAAAAACAGATTGACAAATTGTGGAATATTATTATCATATCAGCCGTTAACTCTCTACTGCTAAATATAGGCCTTCGCCTTGGGAGATTTTGCCAGTAGTTCCCACGTTTGGTAGGTTGGCAGCCACAGTTAGGCTTGGGTTATGTTTTAAGAGGGACGCTGCTTCTCATCCTTCATGCTTTAAATTCCCTTAGTCGTCTCTTACGACATTCACGAGAAAGGAAAGGATAGCCCAATCTACGCCGGGATCATACGACGATGTATGTTATGTAATATATAAATTTGTCAATGTTTTCATTTTAATGAATACAGCACGAAAATTTACAGGTTTTCTTGTTGCAATTGTTAAAATAGGTTATCCTTCTCGACTTTGGCGCCACTCGGGAATACTCAAAGGAGTTCATGGATCAATACATCGAGATCATCAAGGCGGCATCCGAAGGCGACAGAGGCGCTATCTTACGGAAGTCGCTGGAAATGAAGTTTCTTACTGGATACGAGTCAAAGGTATGATTTATTTGTTTGTAATAGATAAAAAAAAAATACTCAACTGATTTTAAAAATATTTTGATGTGCAGAAAGCGAAATTATCAGGGAGTAACATGATATATACTTTATTTAAAAAAGACCTGTGAAGCCAGGACGAGTAATACAATATGATTTATTTTTCCACAACTGTAATATTTGGAAACATACTTCGTTCTAATGATAATAATTTAGTTTATATAACGTTCTAACGTTAATATTTTTTATTCCAGATCATGGAGGAAACCCACATAGACACCGTCATGATTATGGGCGAGGTCTTCACCAGCGAAGGTACCGGAGAATTCGACTTTGGTGCGCAAAAGACAACGAGACGCATACAAGCATTAGTACCGACCATACTGACCCACCGCCTCTGCCCACCCCCCGAAGAGATATACTCCTTACACAGAAAGTTATCGGGCGTCTTCTTACTTTGTTCTAAGATGAAAGTCAAAATGAATTGCAGGGATATGTTTAATGAGATTTATGAACAATACAAAAGCAACATTGTTAGGTAATGAATAAGGTCCAATCGAATTTTACTAATATTCATATATTTATACGATGAAGATTAAAAGTAAGTTATTAATTGCAAATAATTATTATAGAAATATTATTAAAATGTGATAATTATATAAAAATGTTTGTGTGAGTGAAAAAAAAAATAAAATGCATACAGTGTTTGAACCAGAACAGTGTTATTGTAAGTCGAGTTTTATTAAAATAATTAAAAAGCAGAAAATATAATCTGTTGATTAATGACTAACGTGAGTCAGACTGTATTGTTATTACTTATATCGGCTTTTATAATCCATTGTCCATCAAGGTTTGAGTGAGTGGACATTGAGTTTGTGTACATCGTCTTAGGCCACGTCATAAATTTACATCAGGCGAGATTTTGGTCAAACATTCAAATTTCATAACAAAATATCTCTTTAAATAAGCAATAATAGTAAAATTCTCTAATGGGGGAGGATTGTGTTCGTAAGTGGACAGTAAACGGCTGATATAATGATGATTTTCATATTTTAATAATATTTAAGAAGAAATAATAAAATCAGTTAACATAAAGCATTTTAACTTATTATATATATATATATATATATATATATATATATATATATATATATATATATATATAACTAATAATCCCAAATGGGTAGTCTGACTTACAAGCTTTAGTTGTTGTACAGTGGCTGTACCTAATTGATTTACCTACGGTATGCTAAGTAAATTTTATCAAACGTGCCAAGAGACAAGCTTGCTGTCGTGTCTAGAATTAATTTTATTTGATAACGGTATTTATCATCACCGGAAAGCTGAATTTCTGACTCCAATAGGAAATGTAAATACACAAAAGGTTATTGTTGTTGTCCAAATTTGGACTCAAGACCATTGGAGTCATATAAGTCAGAAGAGTGAAACACTGTTTAAACAACGCGGCCTGCGTTGCATTTAGCTGTTTGTAAATTTGTATTTATTAATACAACTAACTGGATCGTAGTTTTATTTTGAAATGTTGCTATTATAAATTCAATAAATATTTGAATATCATACCAAAGGACTGATTTAGTTCCAAATTCATTCCGTTGTTACGTCAAGTCTTGCGATCTTCTTATGAACAAAATGTTCGTGAACATTTTTATTTTACTTTAATAATTATGAAAAAATTATTAATAAAATGTAATTAAATTGTAATAAATGTATTAATAAAATGTAATAAATTATTTTAATTGTAATAATATTAGAAACGGCATTATAAATTTAACATAAATTAAAATCGTGATACTTTATTATGCATTTGCTCCCAATTTTGTTTCACCCTAATAAATAGTGCAAGAATCGCAATTTGTTGGTTATTATTTATATATATATATATATATATATATATATATATATATATATATATATATATATATATATATATATATATATATATATATATATATATATATATATATATATATATTAGGTGCTTTATATCCTTTTACTTCTTATAGCTTTATTTCCATTTTACTTGAAACTAACTGCTTTACCGACATAGCTACACTTAAGATACGTGACAATAGATGGCGTTGTTAAGTTTAGTGTAAGCTATATATAGATTTCCAAAAACACGATTTATCAAAGGAAAAAATAAATACCGAGCGAAGCTCGGTCATCTAGGTACTGGCAGGGGGACACGTTGACCAAGAAAAAATTGGCTAAGCGAAAAAAATTTTAAAAGATTGCGATACTAGTCGCGATTTAATAATAATAATTCCGTAAGTGTTAGAAAATAAACAAAATCATTTATAAAATATTTATATTTTTATTTTAAAAATTTCCTAAAAACGTAAAAATTAATAAAACTAGATTCTTAAACTAAATCTCATTAATTATATTAAAATAAAAAACCAGGAAACTATTGTGCTTCGATCTAATTAGCGTTGTTTAGTTAACGACGTCGTGCTGCAAGTTTGCACACATCATTTCACAGATGGCGCTGTTTCTATTTAATGCACTACTATATCTGTTTTTACTCGTTCACCTGAAATTCTAGATACAGCATTACCAGATGGAGTATTTTTGTCGCATTATGGATAAAAATTATTTATTCGCGAAACTGTAAAAAAAATCTTAGTAAAATGTTTGAAAAGAAGTCAAAAGCTTTAGAGAAGTTCGCTTTATTTTTTTTACATTTGTGGTATCTGTCAATCAGACAGCATTATATAATTAGTATAGTATTTTGTTATCGTTCTCTTAGTGGTTACTTGGCAAAATGTAGAGAAATTGATACAAATTTGTACTTAAGTAAAATGAAAGAAGTCCTATAGATTTGAAGAAAAAAATAATCAATATTTGAGTAACAATTAATTGTTTTAATGGCAACCCTGCGGCTGGAGATCTACCTACATTGTGTTCACGTGTTATTATAATGTAATTAATAAGCGACTACTGTTGAAGTTTTAATACTGGCTGTTGACACTGAGGTTTTTTAGAACAATGTATTATTTTGAAGCTTGTTCTATGTCAGATTTTTATAAGACATGTCTCGTATTTTTTCACTAAACTTATTATTTTATATCACAAATACATATATGTTTTATTACTGCATCCTGCTATTTACAACAACTACGTCAATTTCTATGTTTATCGATTTTAATTGTGACCTAGCTTGTTCTAACTGGACTCTGACATTTATAATTCGGATGACAATGCAATACTATTTTGACATAGAACTGATCTGATCTGAACTGAGCTGAAAGGTGGCCATAGGAACTTCGTAATTAAACGATGCAACCCCATCGAGTTTGGGTTCATTTAATTCTCGTTAAGTAAAGTAAAAGTACTCGTTAAAACAAATTAAACGAGCCCAAACTCGATGGGGTTGCGTCGTTTAATTACGTAGTTCCTATGACCACCTTGCAGCTCCATCATCAGACCCTGGTTACCATTTAGTATCAAAGTACTCGTCAAGACGAATTAAACGAGCCTAAACTCGATGGAGTTGCGTCGTTTAATTACGGAGTTCCTATGGCTACCTTGCAGCTCCATCATCAGACCCTGGTTACTATCTAGTATCAAATTGTTCGTGAAGACGAATTAAACGAGTTCAAATTCGATGGGGTTGCGTCGTTTAATTACGGAGTTCATAGGAACTCCGTAATTAAACGACGCAATAGGTGGCTATAGAGCCACCTTCCGAGTCCATCATCAGACCCTGGTTACCATCCAGTATCAAAGTACTCGTCAAGACGAATTAAACAAGGCCTAACTCGATGGGGTTGCATCGTTTAATTACGGAGTTCCTATGGCCATTTTCCTTAAGTTTTTATACAATTCTTTTGATAACCTCAGAAGGAGGTTTGTACTCCTACAGAAATATTAAAGCTACTATTTATCTTTAAGCTACTAATTGTCTGTTAATCTACATATTATACTGCTCACATTGATGAAGTTGTGGGTAAAAGCGAGTGGATGATAATGGCATGGTAAAGCTGCCCGCGATATTGGTATATGCTGGTATATGTTGGCTTTCATTTATATTCTTTTCCTGGTGCCCAGGAAAGGAATAGAAATTAAATAAGTAATGTTTAATAATTTTGTTCTACAAAAAACTGACTTCAAATGTGACAAAAATCCAATTATTTTGATTTAAGAACTAAGCTACTAAACCTATTTAGATAAAATTTCTGTAAGACCAATGTGTAAGTATTCTGTGTTAGTAGTATTAATATAAACCTACGTGGTTTCTGAATGCTAATGTAACATAATTTCTGTAACTTTGTATTTATAATTATTATAAAAAAAAAGTATATCCTTTCAGATAAAAAAATAATTTTCCAAATCAGTTTAAAACTGACGGAGTTATGAAGTAACAGACATAAAAAAATACATCCAATTTGAGAATTTACTTCTTTTTGAAATCGATTGAATATGAAGCGATCTCATTGTGACAAATTTATCAAAAATTTCCTACGATAATATCCAAGTAATAAAAAAGATCGACAATGATAGGGTATATTATTTCGTGGTTTATTCCTGGTGAATTTATCATGATGAGCCGTCTGATTTAACTTTATCCTTGTATATTATACCTCGCTGACTCTGCTAGTGTGTATCAATAGCGCAAACAATGGTAGATTACTATTCCATTAAAAGTTAGTGACTGATTTCATCATCATCATCCTCACACAGTACTAACTAACATTTTGTTTCACAACACGCTTTATCTATCAAAAAATTTACATGCAATGAACGCAAAAACACATAAAATATATTGAATTAAAATAACTAAATTAATTCAGAAATGACGAATATAGAACGATATGATAACACGAGTATACTAAGTACTTATCTATTTATAAAAAAAAAACAAAAACCTAATACATTCGGAGAGTTATATAGAACGTATCCTATTCGTTAAGCGGTTATTGAATGACTGTGACAAGAGTAGCCTCATTCCTAAATACTACATTTATATCAAAAAAGATGGCGACAAAAGGTACCTTAAAAATAAAAACACAGCCTCTATTTTAGAAATTTTATTGCAGGTCGAAAAGGCATTGGGGGAACATTAAAGCAACCATACATCGAACCTGTGACCATTTCGGTCATTGCGAATACGAATACTAAGTCTTATTTTTATACCAACGGTTCCGTATACATGCATATTATTTGTACTCAAAAACTAGATAAGCGTAAAGTCCGTATGGTAAAAAATTGCTAAACACGCAAAAACATACGAACGTAATAATTATGTACTTACTGATGTAAGTCACGTGACATTATGAACTAGCTATGGCCTTTTGAAAAACGTTAATAGAGTTAGAGAAAAAACAGTTACAGAACAATGTTTAAAGTTTTACATTTTCTCATACATGACCTTTAGTGAAGTCTTTAAGCTGGTAATTTATTTATAATATCAAAAATAACTTTATTATTGCAAAATAAATAATGCAGTCCCGTATAGAGTATATTACACGTGTGATTAAGAATAAAAAAGTGGTATTTTTTTAAACAAATTCTAAGATTCGTTTGGTGTAAAATGCAAGTAATACGAAGTTACGTTATCATATCGTCATAGTCGTAGAATACTGACGGATCTGATAAAGATTACATATAAAGATCCGTCAGTATTCTACGCCTATGACGCTATGTGAAATTAAGTGGTACAGTTTTGTAGTAAGATAATAACATATATGGTCTTAATATAAATGTAATTCAGATAACTGTTTTACTAATTAAGAGGAATGGCAAATTATTTAGTAAATAATACGTTATTTCGCCAAGAAATTAATTTGGGCCACATTTATTCGAAACAATGTGCTTATTGCTGCGACTAATAGAAATAAAAAATATAATAAAACTAATAGAAAAAAAAAATTAAAGCTTAATTTATGATGTACATGGAACAGCCGGGGGTTAGGTACTTTCATCATTTAAAAATTGAAAGTACACCTTATGTGTTTATACATCAGAGTATCAATTACCTATAATTCTAAATAGATCACCATTGTGCTGAGATTATGCCATCTTAAAATGATTTTGGAGTCAAATAACAACAGAAGGTCAACAATTCAAAAAAATATTATTTCAATCAAGATAAACTTTAAAATTCTCTACAACATAATGTTTAGAAACTTCTCTTTAATAAATCAGTCTTAGTCCTCATATACACAAGCGTTATTTTACCGCGTGTCGGTACCGCGCGATCGGAGTAAGAATTTAAAATTTATTATACTATAGTCAATCATTGTGCCTAATACCTACTTCTATAATGGTGATACTAGAGGTAAATTAACGTTAGTGTGGATGAGAGCTTCGTGTATAAAATATGTTAGAAATCAAATAATATTTCTTTATTATATTGTCGAGTACATCTAGCTTAATCCCAGCAGACGGACTAAATGCTAATTTCCAACTTCATTTTCTAGAAAAAGCAACACTTAGGTACGTACATACCGTTACAGATTAAAATTAATAATATGTTCTTTGATTATCACAAACATTGATAGTTTGTATTCATATAGTAACAGTCAACTTACCTGTGCAATTTTGTTACAGTGAGAATAATTTATTCTACAGAGTGCTACAAACCTCTCCAACACAGATTATATAATAATTATGCCGCTTACACTCCAGTAAAAAAGTCGAATACTTATAATGAATATGAATTGTGACACATCATCTATGGGTACTGTAAGGGTGATAATTTAAAAGTGTTAATATAGACAGGAGTAGCAAATTTCATGTTTGTTGAACCGCTAAATATAGGTAACGAAATCATAGATATAATGAGGTTAGACATAGATAGATATTGAATTTGGTATATTAACTGATATGAAAAGACAGTTTACGGCAACTATATATATTTAAAAAAAAAACCGTCGTCATAGCTCTAGTACTCTCTGTCTACCTTATATGTTTTGTTGTGAAAAATCCATTTAAAATATCTTATAACGCTAATTATGGTAATCTCGCCTTTCAGTAACGATAAATGGAAACAATATCACTATATTCGTGTATTAGGTAATAATATTATAATCTATAAGCATACAGCAATTGTATAATCCTCGATAATTCCCCTAAAATAATATGAGCAAGGATCTATTAAGGTATTTAATATTGAATACATATGCACATAATAATATTAATGAAATTGATAACGTGATAAATAGATATGCAATAAATTGCTCTATAGTGGTACGACGTACTAAATTGTACAGTTCTGTCTAATAAAGTGTGAGTACGCGTAAATAACAGCTAATAAACACTACATAAATATGATATTTAAATTTATGTTCAATATAATAACATGGTCGAGTGCGTGTCGATACGCAAAGTTTGTCACAATTTTCGAGTTGTGCTAATGGAACTGTGATTTTAAAATTAAGTTTCGAATATTTTAGTCCTCGGTGAAAATTATAAAGCCGAGGCAAATGTGCAGTAATAGATAAGAAACAAGTTACAAAACAGTTAAATGACATTTGCTCTGATGTTGAAACGAGAAGGGAGTAACACCCTGTAACTTTCCTTAACCCTACGCTCGCCCACTGAGTTTTACCACAGTTTTATTCGTATTTCGATGTAAAATGTTCTTACAGTGGTAACACTCAACGGCATTATATTGTATTGTGTATTCACTCACATGTTGGCCTAGAGTTTAATATATAAATTTTCTAGAGAATATTTAACTGTTTTTCAGTTTTTAAATCTTTGAAGCATAATGTTTACTTAATCAGGTAGATAGGTATTATAACTCTGTGATTCATATTATACTTTAAATTCGCAAATATGTATAAAAGTCACAGTTCAATCAAGTTTCAGTAACAGTAAGCATTCGTTATTATTATCGTTAATTTTGCGATAAATACACATCTTCTATACCCGCCCAAAGCTTTGACTTGACAACTTGTTAAATTTAACAGTTATACCTACACGAATTTCACTCTGAATATCACTACATTGAGGGTTATAACACGCATCCAATAATGTCTGTTAACAGTGAAAATAATCTAGAATTGATTTTCAATAAACCAAAGTAAAGTTTTTCGTATTGTCTTTTTAATTTGTCATGAGAGTTTTATCGGAAGCCTGGCAACGTTTGTTACATTAAAAACGATTTAAAATACTTAAAAAAAAATAAGCAAAATGCGTTAATCAATCAAATTTTATATTGTAAAAGTGAATTAAAATATTAAAAAAAATAGTGGTGAAGGAGTGTTTCGAAATTTTAAATGTAAAATATTATACGTGAATTGTATTAGAAAATAATTTATTATTGTACTCAATTATTTAATAATATTGAAAAGTATTTCATAATAAATGAGATATAATCAGACATTGCCAGTCTAACGTTGTGAACGCTCACTAATTTCGCGACGGGGACTGGCACCATGCATTTATGGCGAGCCTTATAGCCATTGTAGAATCATGAGTAAGGCAATATGTCACAAAATTTCCTGACATGTTGGACATGATAAATTAATAGATTTTTCACATACAAATTTTTATTCAAAACTAAACATTATTACATTACGGATTAAGATATGTGTAAATAAATTAAAAGTATTTGTTTATGCTGTTATAAATTTGGAAATTAATAACTATGGTGAGTGATAAAAAATAAAATTGCCACAACATATCAGGATTTTTCCATATAGCAACCCTACTCAGGTATAATACTTTTTAAAATTTAATTAAGAAGCCAGAAGAACATGTTGCGAGTCGCCTAACGTACTTCCCTATCATACCTTCTAGGTCCACAGATCGTGCTTCAATAATTCTAGTAATAAGTATTAACTAGGTATATACACAATACATCTACATTATAATTATGACCGTTTCTCGCTGCGCTATAACATTTTGGTTAACCAAGTGAGATCACGCGTAAGGTTAGGTTATATATTGCTAGTGGGATCGATTCTGAGGCGCCATTTCTTTAAAATTTTAATTTCACAGCGAAATCTTTATTGTAAGAATCAGTATGAACTTATTTTCTGATAGATTATATATTTATGATGATTATTTTGCGATATTGTTAAATTAAAATATTAAGAGATAAATTTAGAGAAATGGTACCTAAGAGTTGGCCTCAATATAGACAGGTAATGGGTGGCTAGGAAGTGGGTTGGTCCTTAAATCCTATTTGTACAGGACATGATCTATCTCTGTGCTGAAATTTATTCAAATAATTCCCGAAATTAAAAAAAAATATATTAGTGGGATTAAGTCAAAGGAGATATTTACTCCAAGCTGAGTATTTACTGAAAATACCCAGAATACATCTGTATACTATCGTTGCTAATGTTTTAAACTTTTTCTGATATCCAATTCAAAAGTTAGCTGGTGTTTCTATTTTACTAAAATTAAGTACATTTTGTAGATGCGTAATCTAGTTATTTCATATCAGAGTCACTGCGCCTGTGTACCATCCCATAGCCTGTCACATACTACGAGGTTTGTCCGGAAAGTACGTATAAAAGTTTTTTAAAAATTTTATTTTACAATTATTCAGGTAAATCAATTTTATCCCCTTCAAAGTACTCCCCCTGTGACATAATGCACTTGTGCCAACGCCGTTTCCACTGTGAGAAGGCTCCTTGAAAGTCCTCTGGTTGTAGGTTTCTCAGCTGCCCCGTCGTAGCTTTTTTTATCTCATTTATGTCCCCCAAATGCCGCCCCCGAAGTACCAATTTGGTTTTTGGGAACAAGAAGAAGTCACACGGGGCCAAATCCGGCGAATAGGGGGGGTGTTCGGTCACCGTAATGGAATTTTTACTCAAAAACTCACGGAACGATCTTGGCGCAAATTTTTTTCATTTGAAGTTCGTTTCTTAGAATTTCGTGGACCACGGTTTTGCCCAAATTAAGCTCTTCAGCCACCTGTCTGACCGTTAAACGACGGTCCCCATTAACACAAGTTCGAATTCTTTCCACGTTTTCGTCGGAATGTGAAGTGGAAGGACGTCCTGAACGTGGGTCATCTTGAACGCTTTCTCGGCCCTCTCTGAATCTTTTTAGCCACTTGTGGACGGTTGGTTCCTTCACAGCATCATCCCCATAAACTGTTCTGAGATCGGCATAAATTTCACGGCCATTCTTGCCGAGTTTCGAGAGAAACTTGATTACGACGCGCTGCTCTTCAACGGAAGCGGGCTCCATGCCGACGGGGTTTCGTTAAGAGGTAACTTCACAGATGGCGTGACAAGCCAGTTCGCACCGCACGGCGGTCAGACCAGAACTGAAGCATTGTTAGGGACATAAGGAAGGGGTCCTGCGCTTACCTGGCCTCCCCACTCCTCTTTCTCGCATTCCAGAACACTTTTATACGAACTTTCCGGACAGACCTCGTACAAGCGGGGTTCACTTTTATTGTTAAAATTATTTAATTAACAAAAACAACAACATAATTCAACAGTAATAAAATTCTATAGAAATCTTTAGTTAATTATGTATTAATGACATAACACTTTCGCTTCGCATAAATAGGTTTAATAGCTTTTCAGGTACAATGCTGTCAAATTTGGTAATTTATTTATAATGTAAAATTACCCCATATGTGACATTTCTGTATATAATCAATACGAAATTGAAGCCTCTTTGAATATATTTGCGACATAAAACTGATCAAATGTGACCTGTGTGTAAATATTGGTAGTTAGTAAATAGAGCGATAGAAAACTTTCTAGAAACATATACCAGAAATAGTTCTAGGTCGTTAATTTACAACTACGACCACTTTCCGTTCATCCAATAAAGACTATAAATCGACGCCATTTCTTTATTATGTGATCATTATGTACAGAATCGGTAGTAAATCGGAGGCATTAGTAAAATTGGCGAAATGTCACCTTTTTCCACAGAATTATTTTTTATCTATAACGGAGTAAGATTAGTAATTAATGTAGACCGAATCGATTAGTCAGTAAATGCTGTAGGCACCTAACTAACAAACTACTTAGGCACCAATACTTGTATTAGAGGCAAAATAGATAGAGTTATATATCTATTGTAACAAAGTATTAAAAGTTATAATAATATCTAACATCAATGTTTTCTAACGGAACTTTTATAATAATTCTATCATTACTAGGTACTGTATAATCGAAACAATAGTTCGATCATATGGCTACACAGTATATGTCATTTAACACCTAGCACTAACTAATTTAGGTACACATTCTGGTAACGTGATTAGAAATTATATATTTTGGCCATAGATTGATAAAACCCCAAAATATTTACCATACTCATAGTTTTTTTTTTTTTTTTTTTTTCTATAGTTGACACGATTATTAAAGCTAAAGTATAAACGTTTTTGCATTAATTATTACATACTTTTTTATTTTTATTTTAAACGATTAAATTCTATAAAAATGATACGCTAATATTGATGAATAATTGTGCCAAGTAAAGAAAAATATCGATTAAGATTTTTTTTAAATATAATTATAGAATGATATCGCACTGCTATACAAATGACATGGAACGTCGCATAGCCGAGAAACGGTCATATAGTTGACGAATATTCAACCAGTATGTGCCACGGCTAGTGGTGTTAGGAGATTATTATAGGCAAGGTTAGACACTAAGGGCATCCATTGATCACATACTGTTTGATCGTCTATTGAACGCCAGCCCTCGTACAAAAAACATTTTGATAAGCGATACCATTTGAATAGACGATTTTATAATTTGCCGTAGCACGACACGATATCTTTTGATTTTATCATCACGATATAATAGAGCAGCAAAATATATATAACTAGCTTTTAATCGCGCCTTCGTCTGCATTTCCGAGATATATTTACTGACCGGAACAAAAAATAGGCTGCGAACACTTAGGTTGTGGAATATCTTCCTACCGAGGCTTCGCTTAGAGACTGCAGCATGGGATTTTTCAAAAAGAAAAAGAAGGGTGATCCCTAGTTTTAAAGGCGTCTATAGATTATGGTAACTCTATTTACCGAGGAGGAAGGAATTGTTTGTAATGCGGACTATTAGTTTCATTGCTAGCAATATACTCTGTCAGGTCAATCTCCACAAGGTTCCTCCTGGAAACCATCGTGCCGAATTCCAGGCATATTCATCACGATGGGCTGACTAGGTAACTGCTGTCTTTTTATTCCCACCTATCATCCCTTACTGGTGCCCCGATAGCGTGTACAGACGTAGCGTTACCATTCCATTATCATCCATTAAAAAAAAAACCGTTGACCATGAAACAGGCCGTATGTTTGTTTGCCGCCATAGTAGTATAAAAAAGACGATTTAATTGTTTACATTATGCTCTCCTATTATATTACTCGTATGACGATAAAATCGAACGATTATAGTACCGTACATGTCATATTTTCACATATGGTACATTATAAAGCTCCTACAGAAATTAATAAAACATGACAGTCTATTTATGATACCTATTACAGAGAAAAAAAAAAAACAAGAAATTACACGAATTAATAATCGTTGATTAAAATAAAATAAAAATGGGGTCACAGGAAAAAGAATCTATTTGTAAATATATTTGTACTGACCTCATACAAAAAGTCCATTCTAACATTGCTTTTTATTTTTATCTCATACTTATAGCGGTGTAAACATGTATATTTATTAATTTATTCTAACTTGTTTAGTATAGAATAAAGCGGAGACAATTACATAAGTCAATGTCCTGACAATAAGATACTTATAGTTCCTGTCGAAAGATTTCTAGATTTTAACTTGGAGCTAATTGTAGGGAGCGTAACTCGCCCGATAATGTCATTGTGGCAGTATAAATGTGTAAGTTTGACCATTTCTAATGATATCACTAATGGAAAATGTAGTTTGTTACGGGAGCAGGTAAAGAGTAGGCGGGTTTAGGCTTAAGCGTTCGACTCTTTTAAGTCTGTGAGCCTTGCTAGTTGTGCCGGTTCTAATTCATCGGGTATAGAGGCTCGACCGGCTCGGGGGGCCGCCGGGGGGGACTGTGGGGCGGTCGGGGGGCCAGACGCTACAGACGCCCCCGTCGACTCCCCTTCTGAGGCTGTGGAACTAGACGCCGGGTGTGGAGCAGAGTCCGCCGGTCCATCATCAGAGTCCCGGAGGCAGACGGCCGTCTGTTCCGACAGAGAGGACTCTTCATCCTCGTTCTCCTCGTTGCGCTCGGGTTCCTCGTGGTGTTCGGGCTCCGGATCTGGTTCGGGTGGTGGGAACGGCTGTTCTGGTTCCTCGACCATCGGCGTGGCTGCCGTGATGACGATCTGCGCCACGCCGAGCCCGCAATCCTCAGGCAGCTCAACTTTTGGTGGCACAGGCTTGCTCGGCTGAGGCGGCGGTGCTACCCGCTCCTCCTCCTCCTACACAATTACGTACACTTCGTTAGCTCGTTGCCAACTTTGCTTATATAGCAGGGGCATGGTCAATGCGGGCTCGAAAGTTCAGTGCTTCGATTAAATTTAATGGTCTTAATCGTGGATGTCGAAAGGTAAATAGTTTAAGATAGAAACAAAACTATATCTATCATGCAATTAATAAGTATCATGCTGTGGTGACATGAACTATTCTACATTATCGTTTGAAAAGTATAGGGAGGAGTTTATATCACTTCGAGGGATAAGTGTTAGCATCGAATTACCTACGTTACAAAGCTTTAATTGTTGTGTTCACATTTTCCTCTATCACCTTAAAAGAAAAGTAAATGTCCGTGTATGGTACAGTCGACCACAAATGTTTGTATACCATCTATCACATTATCTACCATTGATTGCTGATTAGAATTGATTGGGTTTGGAAGATGATATCGTTCACTATGTGGCGGGCTGTACACAGTATGTCCTGCAATACAAAAGCGTCAGTAAGCGCGGTAAAACAAATAACAGCAACAAGCCAATTAATAGATTATTAATATTCTATTTACAAAGAAGCGACAACAAAGCACACCTACATTACATAATAACGACATTAAAGTGAAGTATTTTGTAATAAAAATCAAACCTCTTCCTCAATATTTTCACCCAGAACCTCATCGACTGAAGCATGGAAAAGAATTCATATAGGATTAACACCGGCCTTATACAATATTTACATTAAAAGTTTTAGAAGACATCTGTAAAAGTAAATATTTACAGTGGGTACAATTTAATAAATATAGAGCTTTTCTTAGATGAAATGTAATTTATTTCATGATAATGATGATATAATAGGGGCATGAGTCGAGATAAAAAATTTTTAAAGGTCTTCATACAATATTTTATTAAAATTTATCTAATATTTTTTTTTTTACAGTAGGATACGTTACAAAATTCTTTGGTCTTAATTTTGTAATATAAGTAAGTTTAATACTTGTAAAACTTTATTGTATACAATGTATCTAAACTCATTTGAATAGTACGATTAATAAGCAGCAGTTTTTGTTTATTGATGACATTTTAAAAAGAAGCTGACAATTCCAAAAATGACTTAGGAATATAAAATCCTAGACAAACTTTTTATATTTAAGATTTGGCAGCATGGTCTCTGACCTTAGTCTGTTTCTCTGAGGAATGAATGTATCAAAAAAATAATTAACTTTATTACTCTATACTCAGAATAGTGGAATTCTTTAAATGATTTAATTGCTGAGTCGGGAATCGTCAAAATATCGTGTAACGAACAAGTGTAGGTAACTTATTCGTCTTCCCAATCACTTACCAACTATGGTGACAGCTGATGGCGCAGTCTCCTGCGCTGAGAACTGCATATCATATTGCTCATGCTGGTTCTTTGTTAGTTCTAAGTTAAAACTGAAGTCTGGCTGGCTGTCCATAGAGTCCCCAAGGTCGGCGGGCGGCGGCGGGGGCGGATCCGCCGGGGGCGCAGCGCTTTTTGTATTGTTGTTCTCACTCACGATCACTGGCAGCGTCCAAGGACAACATACAATTCAGCCGAAACCAGGGGCGGTCCTTCTAGTATATGTTTGAAGGCTACTAGGGTAAGGTCAGTATTGCGGCTAGGACCGCCTCTGTTACACGCGATTCAGTTGACTCCACGTCTTTTCTAATGAGGAGCTTTAAATACCAAGATGAAACTCAAGCATTAGTACTTGCCAATATAATTACATTTTAACATACGAGTACTTGCACTGAATCAATGATATTATTTAACATTGATCAAACTGAACTTCATCAAAGGAACTCTTTTACCGATATGGCTGCCCATTGTTTTTTCGGTGTGATCATTTCTTGTTATTGTTTGTGTCTATAATAAGTTTACTATTGTAATCTTTTGAATGATACAACAAAGAGTATCTACCTATTTATATGAATATAGCAAAACAGTCTTATTTACTCGTATATTATCTTTAGCAAAGAATTAGAATCTAGTAATAATTAGTACCTAATAATCATTTATCATAAAAACTAATGTTCGGCAATTGTTTATCCCTATATTAACCAAGTATTCATAAGAGATTTATAACGCTATCGAACACGTCAATTTGAAATCCTTTTAGAATTTTATGTAGCTACATAAAACAAACAACTATAAAAAATTTAAATTATATTAAAAAATAAAATAGCGTCACCATTTTCTTAAATTGATATAGTCATGATTCTATTTATTTAATATATCAGTACTTTAAATATTTTAAGGTTTTTACATTAAGTTATGCAGATAAAACGAGATTCGGGTTAAGAGTCAACTGAACGCGTTTAAAGATTTAAGTATTTCAAATTTCAATGATGTGGCTATAAAAGATTAAATGGAACCAGTTTGTTGTGTAGAAATTGAATTAAGATTGACGTTGGACATCAGTGGTGCCAACATATTTCGTTAAACTACAATAGACAAGAAAGACATTGTGAGTCAGAAGATAAACACACAAACATTGATTGTTAAACTTGCAGTAGTGTAGGCGATTGAAAGAAGGCGTGTTAGAGTTCATTGTGTGAATAAGAAATTATAATATCCAAGTAGACATAGACAATTACATAGAAGATGCAGCTAATAACTTTGATATATTGTGCATAACAATTTCCTTTGACATAAATCCGATATGAGCGAGTAATTTTTTGACGAATTACAATCGACGCCGAAAACCCATTCGAATCACTTAATTTACAAACCAGGTTGATCAGTTTATCTATTAAGTAATCGTGCAAAACATCATGCATTAACGACAATATGTGATGGTCCTATGATTCCTAGCTGTATTTACGGAACTATAGCGGTAGAGGTCGTGCCATTCACCGAAACTGCAAATACCATGCCAATTGGGAATAAAATCCACAACTATTTACCCAATCAGCCAAAAAGCTATCTATGTTGCGTGAACAACCGCACAATTTATTGCCACTATGTGTACATTACAATACAAAAGGTACGTATATACGGACTGTAAGACATTTATACGAATAGATTGGCTTTAGAACGCGGACACCGCTGGTAACACTTCATAAACCATGTGTAACCTACACACGTAAACGATATCTGACTAAAAATTTAATGTTTACGCTTTTCTATGAATGTAGAAATTATGCCACGTTCTTGATTTGTTTCTTATCACTGAATAAACTAGTTATCATTAGATATTCCTTCAATCATGATTGGCAAACTACATTTGAATTTTTTATTAGCACTTAATATCAATATATACAAATAATAAAATTAAATATTTGAGAAAAAAAGTTACGAGGGGCAAGTAGAGCAATAGATGTAAGAATAATATTTTTTCATGTATTCACACAGAGAAAAATTTGTCTGTAAATTTATTCTTGCATAACGTATACTTTGTTCCATCAAATTTTACAAGATATGGTTTTCACAGTTAAATCTGGTAAGGTTTTATTTCAAAATCGCGTAAACGTTAAATTATAAATGAACGTGTATTGACTACGTTTTTTTTTTCTTAAATTTAAACCTTCTCTGTACTCTTTTAAATAGATTTCATGAGATACGATGGAATCACTTTCTCCTTATATGAGATTTTTCAAATTTATATTTTGCGTCAGTTCCTAATTTCAAGTGATATAAAACGAGAATAAAAATAAATGATATTTAGTGAAATTTTGTCTGATCTTTTATTTTCTATATATTTCCGCTTATATTTTTTTATTTAGGATTATAGATAAGTAGGTTATTAACTGTAATTTTTCCTAAAAAAAAATTCATATTCATTCGTAGAACAAATAGAAAAAGAGCATGGTTGTGAATTGAAGTATAGAACCAAAGATGTCCACGTTCTGATAGCCAGTGCGTAGAGAACAGCAGAGGAGAGAAGAGGTGAGGCTTACGTTCGTCTTCGTAGCCGGTGCCAGGCGGAGTCCCGGGGGGTGAGGAGAACACCGGGGGTGCAGACCCTGGAGGTGTCCAGTCGTCACCTCCGCTTAGCGGCTCTCCGTTCTATTATCAAGAAATGATTTATCATCAAGGTAATTATTAATAAAGATTAGATTAATTTAAATCTATTTAAAGTAGTTTACTTTTACTTTTTTTATATTTTTTATTTTATTATATTATTTCTACTATTGTATGTGACGGCGACGAACTCTGGCGTCAAGTTTTGGGTCGTCTTCATTATACACGAATGTCTGCGATGCTCAGTTAGACAATACTCTACTGTAGTTTCCCCATTCAAAGTTTTAATTTTAATTTAAACTTCTATATGTTTTAAAATTCATATTCTGATCTTTTAAAATAACAGGCGTCTATTTCGTACCTCAGAGGGTATGTAAAGCTACACCAAAAACCTTCGTGTATTTATTTTTAATAATTAATAAAGAATTGAAGAAGTGAAGTTCTTCTTACATCTAATTACTGTGTCCGTCATGGTCTACAATTTAATTAATTTTAAAATCTTTTGTTAACATTGTAGACCGTAATAAATGAATTGCATTGATTAAGAAACTATAAAATTATAAAAACTATAAAACTTTGTGTTTTAAGCGAGCAAATTGAACAGGTTTTCACATTGTCAATTATGAACCTATCATAACAAAATCTCTTTTCAATAGTCAAGCTTTATTTCCCTGTATTGATATAATTTTAATTTTGCAACGATTGAAGTTACCTTTTTCATTACAAGAATGATTCCATATTCTAAATTCGAATATTTTTCTCAGAGCAATAAATACATATTTGTTTTATGCTTGGTACAATCACAGTGTAAGGACAACCAGTAGTCCAACGCTTTCGGCATGACTTTAATGGATACTTGACAATAATGGTCTTACCTCATCACACTCTTCAACGATAAGCGATGGGAAGTTGCCAATAACACCATTGGCCTCGCCGCGCCACCAACCGTCGTCGACGCCATGAGCGTCCCGGGACACGATGCGGATTATCTAAACATTGCAATGTAAAACATACCTAGATTAAGAATTGTCAATAATTAATTTAAACTAATATAAACGTTATTATTATATACTAGTTATATCCCGTGGCTTCCACCCGCATGTATCAGTATATTATCTTATGTGCTAAGTAGTTTTTGAGTAAAAAAGTAACAGACATCCATCAATACCAACTTAATCGCAGGTACCAGAGGAAGACTTTGTACAAAAGTCGATTGCTTGGGTACCTCTGTCCCATTCGTGTTTCTACCGTGAAGCAGTTGTGTTTGCATGGCTGTGTTTCGGTTTGAAGGGTGGGATATGGCGTGAATTTACAGGGTACAGAGGAATAACACCTGAGTCCTCAGGAATGGCAATGCATGGGGGGTATCATGGGCGAAACAGTATGTGTGTGTACTGTTATGTCCATGGTACTGCTCATGTCTATAGGCGACGGTTACCACTTTCCATCAGGTGGGCCGTCAGCTTGTTTGCCATTCTAAGTCGTATAAAAAAAAAGATTTGATCATCAAAAAATACCGACTTATTATCGATAAAAAAAATTAGTATTTCATAAAATATTTATATGTGTAAATTGGTCACTTCTCTTACAGTTTTCTAAAACGTGTAGAGAGCCATAGGTTCAAGTTACAAGCTTAAAAATTTTAGAAGATGTATCTAATTTATCATTAAAAATATCAATATATGCTGCTGAGAAATCAGAGAATTGAGTAGAAAAATAGCCTGATAAGTGGGAGCTAATTGAGCAATGCAAGTGCGAACTGGCGGCGCCGATAGTGATTAACATGCATGCAGTAGAGGAAGAGGGATTGTTAGGGATTGTGTGATTAGGGACTAATGCCCCCATTTACACAAGCCCATGCCCACAAGCTTTATCAAGTCGACCTCCACGCGGTTCCCCTTGGAAAACATTGTAATTAACTTGTCGCATCACTGTCATGCTCATCTATCATCCCTCACCCCTCACTAAGACCCCGCCAGCGTATACCGATAGCGCAGGCGGGGTTACCATTCCATTATCCATTAAAAAAAACCCGTTGAGGTACATACAAAGAACAACGGCTGAAAGTTACGGGATTGTCTATTCTACCATTGAACAACAGATAATACTTCATCATCAAACTGTCTTACTTCAAGTGTTTCTAGATCTACCATACTAGATATGAACAGTGATGGGTACAAATAAGGGTAGTAGCCGTAAAGTTTATAATACAGAAAACGTCTTAAACATTTAATGTTAAACGTTAAATATCTTGTTCTTTGTTTCATGAGGGTCGCAAATAATTGAATTAAACTCTGTAATGGGTAAATACTTAATCTATGATAGCTTTATCTATAACAGTCAGTCATTGTAACAGAAGTCATTAAAATAAAAGTCATCAACGCATAAAAGGACTTAATTTGTGGTCGCATAATTGTTAATTATATAAAACTTAATTTTTAATTGTGAACAAAGTAAATTATGAATAATTTACTTAACATTAAAAACTCTAAAATGCTTTGTATAAATTAATAATGTCATAATATAATTCCACTATTGACGTTAGATTAGATTGGTGTGACATGGGCATTATACATCATTTCAGTTTCGCTCATGTTCATATTAAGCCCTACCTATTGAGAAGCACTATTGAGATCATTGTGCATAGTATTCAAATCCTCCAGGGATATCTTAACGTGACAGCTGCACATACTATGTTATATAGTATGAGATATTTACAATATTTTAATATTTGTAAATCCAAGTTTTTAAGCGACTTCAAAAATAAGGAGGTTCTCGATTCGATTGTATTCTTTTTGTTTGTTACGAGTATCTCGTAATACTGTCTTTAGAATAAATACCGATTTGAAAAAACTTTTAGATTGGTCCGGTTGTTTGGTTTTTAAATCAAAATAACTCGTTTTGTCGCAATTGAAGTCGATTTTTTTGTGGAATACAATTTAATTATTTTGGAACCAGTTCAGTTTTACTGAATGACCAAATCCTTAAATGGATGTCAATTATTTCAACAGGGCAGTCAATACGGTTAACTTTCAATCCCACTTACCTGTCCCTCTTCAAGATTCAGTTCATCAGCACTGTCTGCGTCGTAGTCGTACAGCGCGAAGCAGTAGCCCAGGGTTGGGAGCTGTTCCGACTTCGGTGCTTCGGGTTTCGGCTCTTCTGGCTTGGGTTCTTCAGGCTTCGCGACTGGAGCCGATATCACGGATATCTGATCCGGAGATTGCACCACATCCGCATCCTCGCCTTCCACAGTGTAGTCCACAGATGAGAATGATATTTGCGTGACCAGGCCGGGAGCACTGGATGTCTGTAACAAGTTGATATCAGAACTAAAGTAAATGTGTATGCAAAATTTCGGTGAGATCTGTTATGAGGAAGATAACAAAGAAAATTTGTGATAAAAATATATTTGAAAAGTCTATTTGTATATAAATATCTTCAGTTAAGAAGAGAAGTGAGCAGTGTATTAAGGCTGATAGCTAGAAGAAAGGAAGTGTGATATCAGTACCGTTGTTACCTGATCGCTGTCTACGTCCAAGTAGTTGTGCGGTACGTAGCCTTCCTCTCCACGGTAGTTCCTCGCTCGGAGCCATCCATCCCCATCACCTTCGCCAACTACTTCCAGCTGTTCGTTCTCTATTATTGACAACTCGTCTGGGTTTTGAGCCTATTAGTAAAAAAAATTGTTGTATTATAAGTAGATATTGTACCCGTGCGAAACCAAGATTCTCACTAGTATAAATATAATCTATTTCAATATAACTAATGAATGGTTATCCAAGTGTTGTTAACATTATGACAGATATCTGTATCCTTAAATTAAATTAGTAACAAATCGAATCATTCAATTAATTCATCCATCTTTGATTTGTATACTAAGATTTGACATCGACAGATTGTTTTCTGATCTAGTTTTTTTTTGTTTACGTTCAGTAAGACAATAGACAAATAATATTAAAGACAAACAATATTAATTTATTCTCAATTTGAATTCTGGATTTGAGTATATACGCTTGTGTGTGTCAAATACATGGTAGTGTGTGTATTTTTTTATTGATATTTACTATAAGAGTGCCAAATGTCATATTCCTTCGTTCGCGCAATTTTTGTAAAAAAGTACAACGTTTTGCTACATGTATTAATACATAGATTTCATTAAATTTACGGTGACTAAGTAAGTATACTGCAATTTAGTAATTATAGTTTAATAACTATAGTATGTGATCGTGATTAAAATATAATTACCGTATAAGAATATAGTGCTGTGCATTTGTACAGTGGCGCCGCTGGTGGCTCCGTGGTCTCTGGGGCCGGAGTGTCCGGTTCTGGTTCGCCCCAGTTCACTTGCGTGGGATCGTCCCAACCCACCGTCAGTTGTTCAATTCGCATACGCTCTTCTTCTAGAACGGCTACAATATTTTTTTCTTATTATTAAATGCTGCTTTTTAAAGTTATAACTATATGTATCGTCGTTGAGAACAGTTGTACTATTGTTTTCATTAACAATCAGAACTGTTTCCGATTAAGGTTTTTAGAGTAAAAATATGGAATTGGTGCAAGACCCTAGGGGTGGCAAGGAATTGTTGGTTTTATTATATTGTTTGTTTTATAGCGTTATTGGAAATGTTCGTCTCTAGCGTTAGTTGCTAAGATAATGTAACGTTAAAACTAACACCTACAACACAATACGACTTTATTTTTTTTAATTATTAATAAAGTTATAAATTATCTATAGACGCTATCACTCACCATCGACATCCTCGTCGTGTTCGTCTTCGTTCTGAGAGCCCGAGGTGGTGCGCTGGTGACCACTAGTGGCGGTGACCCCTACCGATGTGGCCGCTTCACCTTCAGTATTGTCGCTGTCGTAGAATGAGTCTGAACTGGGCTGGTCCTGTTCAACAAATAAACATAACAATAAAGAATTATAAATCAAATTATTTAGATTAATTCAAATCTAGACATCGATTATTAGGGGAGCAGATCCAATGTATATAGGAAACATTATCTAGGTTACACAAATGCAAAAAAAGCTAATAATGAAGCAGTTAGTGCGAGCTTTTGTAAATGACAAGTAACACTGTTGATCAGTTCGGCAGTTAGTTATTGTTTATAAATAAAAAGTACAAAATTTTGGACATATATATATATTTTTTATAATAATATTACAATACAATATTACAATGTGTATAGGTCACTGTTTGAAACAATGCTATTGATAGACAGTAGATATTGCTGCTAAACTACACTATTTTTAATTATAAGTCTGAATGCGTCTAAGTTTCATAAGTTAAGGAATATAAATACCTCTCGTAACAGATTATAATATTAAAAATATTAAGATAGATATATTATTGAGAGTAAACAGAGACAATAGTTATTTAATAGAACTATTTCACTTTTTTTTTTACATTCATCAATATATTTACAAAACTCTCTAATAATGTATCGTATTATAATCAAATATAAGAACTAAATTAATTTCATCAATCATATAAAAAACTTACTAGCCTAATAAAAATTTAGATTTATTACTCACAGCAGCTCCAGATGCATCAGTCCGGACACTAAGCAAACTGCTGCTGCGAGGCAACGTGTCTTGAACCGCGAGGAGATCGACTTCCTTCAACCACTCGTCGACAGGAGCGCCACTGGTGCGCAGACATTCGAGCCTGGCCTCGTACTTCGCTTTGGAGGTCTCGGACCGACGTATGTTGGCCCTTAGTTCGTCCATTCTAACTTCAAGCTCTGGCCCGTTCGGGTCGTTAGGATCCACCTAAAGTGAAAATTAAAGAAAATTGATCAATACTAATACGAAACTTAGACCAAAGAATTACAGATTTTAATACTTTACTTTACAATCTTTTTCAATTAATGAAAATTTTAAACAAACGATTGATTGATCCCGATCATAACATAGTCTCTGGATGACCAGTAGTACAAGTAAAAATCGTTTTATTGATTCTATATTTGGATTTCTTATTATTTTAAAAGATAAAAGTGTTTCTGTGATAATTTTAAGAAAACTGAGCTATATTTAAATTATATGTATGGTCTCGGCATAGAATGGGCTACTCCTTCCTTTCCAAGTGGGTGTCGTAAGAGGTGACTAATAAAAGAACTTAATGGTTAAGGAATGGGTATAAGCGTCCCACTTAAAACATTACCAAAGGCTAATTATAGTTACCAACTCGCTTGCCAAGCGTAGCAATTATTAGCAAAACCTCCCTTATGGAGATAACCTGATGGCTGGTATGATGTTGATGATAATGATTTAAGTTATATTAAAACTAACTATATATTTATACTCCAATTATTACCTAAGTAATAATTGGAGTATAAATATATAGTTAGTTAGATCTCTAAAGATCTGTACGTTACGTGTTTATCGTGTCTGTGTTGTGTGCATAAAAGATTTAAGAGTGATCAAGGGTAATTCTCTGGAGAGGCAGCACAGAGGTGTAATTTATGGGCAGTACATGCCTCTTGGCAGCGGTTACCGATTGTACTTAGCACAAAAATTAAATGTAGTTACAAAGACGACGCAAATACTTAGTACGAATGATCTGTATATTCGTCTGTTTATATATCTGTTTATTCTATTTTAAAAGATTAGCCTATGTTATTCGCTGATAATTATATAGATTTCTATAAAAGTATTTTTTTTAAATCGATTAAATGAGTTCCAAACAATTCATTACAAACAAAAAAAAACAAATATTTCCTATTTATAGTATTAGTTTAGATAAATATAAAACAGATTTAATGAAAATGTTAATAGCAGAAATTTAATTAAAATTTAAACTTAAGTAGTTGTATTATATGCAGAGATGATCTAAAACTATAAATGAGAGTTAAAACAAAATCTGTTAACTAAATAATAACATTTTGGTGAACTAACCATTTAAAACTTTTATACAGAAAACTTAATTAACAACTTTAAATATACTTTAACCAGTTAACCAATACGCATGTTGCCTACATGTTGAAAGTTAAAATTGCGTTTAGTTACAACTTATATATATATATGTATATATATATATTAAGCATTTTGAATAGTCATTTGTTTAATGACGTGTTAATATCTCATATAAATTTTATCACGATTGAAGTCGTAGATTTTATCAAAGAATAATGTTTCAAATTAGTAGAACCTATCAGTGCTAAGTTTAATAATATAAATAAGATTGCGTTTAAAAAAAAATACTTCAATTGTAGTAAAACTAGTTATTTTGATTTAAAAATTAAACTAATAAATTGGTTTTCATTAAATTTCTATAAGACCAATCTGTACTGTAACCTTTGAGATAAAAAAATAATTTTCCAAATTAGTTTACAACTGACGGAGTTACAAGGTAACAAATATAAAAAAATACAACCAAATTGAGAATCTCATTCTTTTTGAAATCGGTTAATTATAAGTAAGTTAAATTCTTTTATATTTTCTTTCCATATTGTGTTTTTTTGTCTATGTTTTACTCTGTATTATGGTATCTATATTATATACGGTATTCTAAATTAAAAATGAATGTTTTTCTTTTGTTCAAAAGGAATTTAAAACGAGGTTTTAAATTTAAAGCAACTGTATTTTTTATTATAGCATGTTTCGTGACATCTTCGTCCATTATCAATCGATTTCAATGATTACTTTTTAAACATAACAAAGTTTAATTACAATTCATAGGTCTTAAAGGATAGCCTGACAGATAGTGTGACCTGTATATTTTTAAATTAAATGTCAGAGTACTAACGTAATAAACTATCAGTTAATGGATCTAGCAGTTAATTTATCACGTCGTTTATCTGCCAGATGTGTGTGATAATTTCCAACGCCATGAGAGTGCCTTATTATCAACGTGTGAAATAACATATGGATTATATAGGTGGTACCTATATAACTTGTAGAGACTAATTATGGTGTTGACGATCTATCGCAACTAACTCCTTACTAACACGGACATAATTTTACTTATTAATTTATTAAGCTTTGATTCATTTTTTTATTTAATTTGGTGTTATTTTGCGGTAAATAGTAAAAGGAAAGATTGTAGTTTTTTAGATTTGCCTCTACTAATAATAATACAATGAATCCTGGTTACGTGAGCTCTGGATACCTAGATACACGGCACGTGTCCAGCTAAGTTCAAATAAACTAGCAACGCAGCAGCCGAGTGTAATATTACACGAACCATTTCAAGCTACCTTTGACACCTTCACAACTCGAAACCTATTTAACCTACATACATGAAATTGTGTGCAGTTATTAGTTTGTCTAGAATCTACATCATGTATGTTGCTTTAATAGTTGTTGATTATATATATTAACATTTTAAAAATGGAGTTTTTATGTTTGACACACTGACTGACTTATAGATCAAAAACGTAATTCACTTCCAGATGACCTAGAAACTTGATATTTGGTATCAAAGTAGACAATTAGGCTTATATAAAGAAAAAAATCTAAAAACTGAAAATTATTCATAATAAGTATCAATAAAGAAATAATGAAGTTAAGTATCAAAATAGGTAATATAAATATAATTTTGTTTCTTATGTCGTATTGTATAGTTAAAACTGATTTTTCTATGCTTCTTAGAATGGCAAACAAGCTGACGGCCCACCTCACGAAAAGTGGTAACCGACATCTATAGACATGAGCAGTACCATGGACATAACAGAGTATACTGTTTCGCCCATGACACCATGCGTTGACATTACTGAGGACTCAGGTGTTATTCCTGTGTACCCTGTAAATTCACTGCGATATCCAACCCTTCAAACCAAAACACAGCCATGCAAACACAACTGCTTCATGGCAGAAATACGAATAGGACAGAAGTGTCCAAGCAAACGACTTCTACAAAGTCTTCCTTTGGTAGATTATTTGGACTGCGTATATTATTATAATCATATATTTAGTATATTATTAAGTTTTATGCTGGTTGAATTCGCCTCGATGCTATATTGGAAAGACCTGTAGATTGAAATCTCTTCTATTGATAATTATAACGAAGTCTCGACACTTTTGTACTGATAAACTTGTGTTACTGGGAATTTTGAAACTTCGCTAACTAAGATTTGATTTTTTGAATTCTTTCGATGTTTGCCTCTATAATTAGGATATTGCAGTTCATTAACCCGTAAAAATAAGACAAATTATTAAATTTAGACAAGTTATGTAAGTTTATTTTAAAAATATTATATTTTTTTCCACACTTGTTTCGTTTTTCACTACTATTTAAGGGTTTGTGTCGAAATGTAATTGTAATTCATTAACAGACTGATAATTTAGTTATAATTGAATCATGATAGCGGCTAGTCGCGTGACGAACTGTGTACGGAATTTAATTTACCAAAGTCAACTCTTTATAGAGTTATTCAAAATAGGGACAAAAATATTTCTCGGTGTATTAACAGAAAAGGAAAACTAAAACGAATACGAGCAGTGTAGTATCTTGAACTTGAAAAATATCTCTGCACATGGATAAAAAGGTAAGGAAATATAATATTTCTAATATAAGCGTGACTCTCGTATAAATAAGACAACTGTCGTTTTAAACCTGCTCATTTGGGGGAATTGGATAAATGAAAAGCCTCTTGTAAGTGATAAAAAATATTAGGTTCTTTTAGGTCCCAATTACGCAGGTTTTCTGTAATAATCCTCAAATGTTGGCAGTCATGTGGATTAAATAAAAATAATTTATTCGAAACGTATTGATGTAAAAATTATTTCTCTATGTATATAACATAGAAAAGAAAGGGGGAAAGGGATTGTTAGTAATGGAGACTGAGAATCCCATTGCTAGCAATGGACCCAACCAGGTCGACCTCCTCGCGGTTCTCCTTGGAAACTATCATGGTTAATTCCTGACGAATTCATCATGATGGGCTAACTGGCCTGTTTTCATTCTCATCTGTCACCCTACACTGGTGTTCCACCAGCGTATCCCGTTAGCGCAGGCGGGGTTACCATACCATTTTCACTTATCAAAAAAACATAAAAAAGAAGGAGAATAAGTAAAAAAAGGTGTATGGCTATTTTGCAAATGTCAGTAACAGGTATTAGTGGCATGGCAACAGGTATACAAGCATGGCAACTACTGGTAAAATCCCCGTATGGGAGAGGCTATGTTCAGCAGTGGACAGTTTTTTTTATGGATGATAATGAAATGGTAACCCTGCCTGCGCTATCAGTATACACGATCGGGGCACCAGTGAGGGTGAGGATATAGTCAGGCCAGTAAATCTATCGCGACGAATTTGCTAGTAATTAATCACGATGGTTTCCAGGGGAAACCGCGAGGAGGTCGACCTGACAGGTATATTGCTAACAATAGGGATTAACGTCCCCATTATTAATAATCCTTCTCCCAGCAGTGGACAGTTAATGGCTGATAAAACAAATCACAATTATTTTTTGAAGGACTGCGTGGAGGTCGACCTAATAGGGTACATTGCTAACAATGGGGCTAGTTTTAGTCTAATTACCGTTATCTCTTCCCGTTCCGTTCCGTCAGAAGCATTTGTCAACTGTTATACTTGTAGAGAACGTAAATCTCGATATGAACATATTTCGCCGAATATATTAATAAAACCGGAGCAGGTCACTAGTATTGATAACATAATTTGTAAAATAGAAAATTGTCAAAGAATATTTATCGTTACCTTTTGGCCGGCGTCCCGCATGGCTTGGTATAGATGTAGTTTGCGTGTGGCATCCCTCACGAGCGCGGTTTCGCGGACCACGCGGGTTGCCCATCTGCGCGCTTCCTGAGCCAGGGTCAGAGCCACAGAGTCGTGTTCTATTGTCACTGTGTCTATGGGGTCGTTGTCACACGGCTCGAACTCATACTGTTAAATAAACAATTATCTTTGATTCATAATTATGACATATGAAAGATTTAAATATAACAAATGTCTATAAAGACGACGTTTTACATTCACTAAGTATGGCAAAGTGAAAGACTAAAATGAGAATACAAATAAATTACCAAATTCATAGTTAATGCATTATTAATAGACACCTATTTATGATATTTTATTTAAAACTATGATCGTGAGCGGTTGTTGCCTAATTATCATGGTCAATTACATATTTACTTTTAATTAATAAATAAGTTCCATACTAATGTATCTTCCAAATAAATTAATGTTCAAAAGAAGAGTCCACTGCTGTGTGTGTGTGTTTGTATATGAGCCTCGAGCCTCAAAATCGGGTCAACTTTTTGTCAGCTAATTGTCAAATTAGCTTTCAGCAATAAATTAAATTTATTAGCAAAAAATTATTTTTTTCAGTTTTCTATATACTTACAAAATGTATCTTGACGAATTTTTTAATAAATAAAATTAAAAAAATAAAACGAGTTTTTGTGCATTAAAAAGGCGCAGTATTTATAAAACAAAATAAATATAGAAGTTATAAAGTTATTACTCATAACTATTATAATTGTAAAAGTTGTGAAAAAGTTGACCCGTTTTTCTCGACTCATTTCTACGGAGACACTTTATACATATAATCGAAGAGGTATACATTATTATTTGTTACTTGCTTCACCTATCCCTATAATGAAGTACTGCGTTCGTGATTCACTGTTCATCACAAAGGTTGACTGGTAGAGAATGCTACTAGTATTAAGTTCGCCTTTTATACTTTATTTTAATCAATAAAGTTATTTAAATAAATAATTATAAAAGTATAGCATAGTATAAATTTCTAAATGTTTCAATTACAAACCAAAATTGAGCAAATAGCAGTAAGCATCGTATTACTTAAGAGTTTGTATTATCATTATATTGAATAAACTGAAAAATCTATCTATGCAACCATCAGAAACTATCAACAAAGTACAGTAAATTAATATAGTGTTATACAACTATTTACAGTATGCTTCACTCCAAAGCATCAATATGGATAGATAAATAAAAAGCTAACATCTTTATAGACTAACATTTTCAAATTCAATTAACTGATTACATAGATTCAAACAACCTTCTTTTTTTTGTTCGGAGTGACGCGGACCTTGTTTGAATTTTAATGTCGCACTTACGAGAAAATAGCGCGAAACGAAAAGAATTATTTTTTTTCTCATTATCGACCTAATGGCTTTCGGAATTCAAGAATTAAAAATATTTGTTTTACATACGTTCAGACGTATAATTTAACCTCTTTTTATGTTTCCATACTTTTCTGAACTACCTATCCTAAATTTTGTATTCTGCGTTTATTAATAAATCTCTATTGTTTATAGTTTTCTCCAATTATAATAATTTCATTATAATAATAAAATGTACCTCTATAACATGTATTATTGAAACTTCTTTGTGGAGATAATATAACTTTAAATCTGGCCACATATATATGTTGATATTATTTTTTATACAGTTTTTGTTTCTATTCAAATGGTTGTCTCGTCTTGTATACCATACGTATTGTATTCTATTCTATATATTCTATATAGTATATTGTATTCTATACGTATTAATATATTGTTGTTCTTAAGAATATTATTTTTCACTGTGACCCTCTACATGTAAGTATATGTGTTTCTTTCCACCAACAACCTTTTATGCCCCTTTCAATCGGGCTTCCGACCCTCTCATAGCACTACTGGAGCGCTTCTTAATATTACAGAGGACATACGTCGGGCTATGGATAGCACAAAATTGACTGCAATTGTTTTGTTGGATTTCAGTAATGCTTTCAATTCGGTTGATTTTGATGTTCTCCTTAGCACCCTTCGTGCAGTCAACGTTTCCACTCCAGTTATCGAATGGTTCTCTTCTTTTCTTTTCGGCCGCCAGCAGTGTGTTAGAACCAATGATGGTTTATCGAACTGGGCTTCATTAACTGCTGGCGTGCCTCAAGGCGGTGTACTTTCCCCTTTATTATTTTCTATCTTTATTAATAATATTTCTCGAGTCATTACTTCTCCCTTCCATCTCTATGCGGATGATCTGCAGTTGTATCGTCACTTTATGCTGTCTGAGGTTACACAGGCAACTTCAGCTCTAAACGATGATCTACTGGCTATTCACTCTTGGGCTAAATCATTTGGTCTTATTGTTAATCCAGCCAAATCTCAAGCTATGATTGTCGGTAGTGGCAGGCTGAGGTGTAAGTTGGAATGGTCTCAGATTCCTCCATTGGTATACGAGGGTACTAGGATATCTTATACTGATAAAGTGAAAAACTTAGGACTTATTATGGATAGTACATTGTCGTGGACCTCTCATATTAATGACATTAGTAGACGGATGTACTTTTCATATCACTCTCTCAAACGTCTCCAATACTTTCTCCCTTTCAATACCAAAATTATGCTTGCACAATCTATTCTTCTTCCCATTCTGGATTATGCCGATGTCTGTTTCTTAGATGTGACCGAGGAGCTGCTAAATAAGCTTGAGCGGTTGCAAAATTTAGCGATAAGGTTTATTTTCAGCTTACGAAAATATGATCATGTCTCGGAATACCGCACTCGTTTAAAGTGGCTCCCAATTAGACATCGTCATGAGACACATGTCCTAGCGGTCCTATATAATATCCTTAATAATCCCAATTCTCCTTCCTACCTTCGTTCCCGGTTCCAATTATTACCTCCTCCTTCCAGACCTAGACGTCTTTGTCTGAACCAGTCCAGGGTACTGAAGCTTCCCTGCTGTAAAACCCATTTTATGGGTAACTCATTTGCATATCGTGCTGTACAGCTGTGGAATAAACTTCCCGTGAATATTCAGAATAGCCCGTCTAGCAGTTCCTTCAAAAAAAGATTAAAATCATTTTATCTTTCCAATTTAATTTAAATATAAAAATGATTAGAAGACTGTCATCATTGTGTTCTCTTGTATTTGATATTTATATGTTGTATTTAACGTGTGTATGTATGTGTGTATATGTATGTGTATATGTATATATATGTGTATGTGTATGTATGTATATATGTGAATGCATGTGTGTATATATATAATTATTTATAATTTATGTAAATATTTATTTAAATTTCTGTCTTGCACTACTACTGCCCACTCACTACTTCCTATGCCACTGCGTTAGGTTGACTGGAAGAAATCTCTTTTAGAGATAAGTTCGCCTTTGCTAACATTGTTATTAACTTATTGTTGTTACTGTATGTTTTTGTGCAATAAAGAATATATAAATATTAAAATTTTATAAACCTCGGATTGATAAATAAGTTTTCGCTACCAAGCTATGAAATGCTAGAATAATATAATACCACCACCAACAAGATTGTCTAAAACTAAACATATATTAAAAAAAAAGAGCTTAAAATGTTTTTAATTATGAAACAAAAAATTGGCATACCTTATAGGTATATAGCGGAAATATTTATTGCTTGAATGTTTGAATGTGACAGAAAGTGACCTCTGGCTACCTAGCCCTATTACCTAATACCTAATACCAAATAAATAACTGTTATTTATTTAAAATAAAATATTAAATGGTAAAGAATGTAAAGGACACACACAATCTATTTTATTCATATTTCTTTTTTATTATTATTTTATTAAGAAATTTCGCGACTGACTCTTCGCCACAACAGAATATCAGTGTTTTACTCTTTTGAGGGCAAAACAATAAATTGAATTGTGACCAATTTGTATTGCTATGGCACGCGCATGAAGGAAGAAAACTGTTACTTGTTTTATATATTTTGCTTTTTTGTATATGCATTCCTTTATCTCTTTTTTATTGCATATATTTGTTGTTATTTGTGTGCTGTAAGTAATGCAAATAAATTATCCATCTGTCTCAATAATAATATACAATATATTACTACACTGACCTGTATGTGTTGTTTCAATACTGGATAGTATAAGTACAAGCATTGCAAGTTATACTCTCTGGTGAGCTGCTGAGCTTGGTCCCTGATTTTTCCAAACGAGTGCTGAGTAGCTGAACATGTGAGGAGTTCGGTGCGACCCATCAGAGTTAGGAACTCTGACACTTTCTCGTAGACTGATGATTCCATGTTTTGCATGCAAGTTTGTAGTTCCACCAAAAAATAACGGTTCTGTAGGTAAAACAGGTTTTATAAGTAAATTTTAAAAATAACTTTTTAAATCAACATCAGTACCTATATGTATTTAAAAACAAAATTTATTTAATTGGCAACCGTCACTTATCTATAGACATAAATTTTTGTATTTTGTGATATTTTCTTTATTGCTTTTTATTGCATTTTGATTTTGTAAATTAAAAATCCTTAAGTAATCATTTTACGCATATTTCACCTGATGGGCATTAGCAGCTGAGATACTGAGCAAGTAGTCATTTCTGGCACCCGTGGACTTCTCCTCCAGCTGGTCCCTTCGGGAAGACACCTTAGCGCTGTTCTTTTGCAGTGAAGTTATAGACTGGAAGAACGAGCCTTTCTTCTTCTTCAGTCTGCGTACAAATTTTTATTCTTGAGTCATATTAAGAGGGAAAGGGATATAAAATAAATAATATCTCTACTAATATTGTAAATGTAAAAATGAGATTTTTTCTCTTAGTTTCTTAACGACTTATTTCACCATTATGAAATTTGGTATACACATATTATATGGAATAGAGGACATCGACCACTTTTGTCTCGATTAATGAACATATCCCGGTCAGGCGAACGAAGTCACGAGTAAAAGCTAGTGATTGATGCTGTTTAAAAAATATATGCTCACTACATCTGTATTATAATCCTCATGGGATAATCAGAGCATTTGTCAATAGTTTCCGTTCAGTGACACTCCATATGCTCATATTTTGTGAAGCTATTAGAATCTAATCTGCGAGCCTATTACAGTTATTCTAATTTATTTATTATCAGTTATCAGTATATTACATCACCGAAATCGGAAATTAAATTTAAATAAATTTTTGGCGTCAGCAAAAATTCCTACTCGAACTCGCTACTTGTGCAATCTTGTTCATGTAGAATACCATTGCATTACGAAGCCTTCCGTTAAGGAAAGGAGGATTTTATATATATATATATATATATATATATATATATATATATATATATATATATATATATATATATATATAATATGCCTGTTATAATGGCCTATTATAAGAGGTATCAAATAGTTATGTTGTGTAAGATTAAAGCACAAAAATATATAGATATCCAAATATAAATAAATATACGCGATTTTCAAGTATAAGTATAAGATAGCAAGTGTTTTTGTAAAATAGATAAATGTAATAAAGATAAAAAGCAAAGGTTTACGGGTGCTGGTAAATTAAAACATAATGGCCAAAAGATACTTTGATACTGAGGATGGTATAACGTGATATCATAAAATTTTCCCTGGACGTTGTTGCGACATCGTAAAATAAAATAAATGCATAAACATGCTCACGACTTGAATCCCGCGGGCATTTACGGACTGTCAAAGCGTATACAACCTAGAATGTGCATAAAATGTTACAGTCAGAGTTATTTCCTGATTAAAACTACATAGTTTTAGTTGAGAAATACCTTTGAAAACTCAAAAGTTAATACTTACTTTGATATATAGTTTGTAGAGTAAGTATGCACTTTTAAGTAACGTAAAGTCTCCGTTTAAACTGTCGTATTGCCTGAATGCTTCAGTTCAAGCTTCAAACTGGTTAAAACCGGGAAAGTTTGGTGACACCATTCGACTTGGGCTTTTGAGTTGGCTACCTATCTTTATTTTCCAAGATAAATGGTGGCTTACAGCCAGTAGCGGTGCTTTAGTGCAAGTTAAAAGCCTGATTTGTCCTACTGAAATTTTTAATACAATGCATATTTTGTCAATTTATTCTATTTTAATTTACGTTCTTCCTTAGCGTGGTGTTAATTTACTTACTTATTGAAAACTTTCCAATGAAATTACTTATTTGGGATTTTGAAATATATTTTGCTAATATCCTATTAATAAATATTATTTAAAAGAAGAACTTTTTTGATAAAGTCATGTACAGATGAAATCGAAATTAGTAGCAATATTTATTATTCTAAATGTAAAAGGGAATATTTTATTAAGGACACAACAATAAGTATATCTTCCATATTAAGACTGATGTCTGTGGAGGCTTAACATTTTTTGTCGTTATTCAACTTATATTTTTTAAGGAAATATATTCCGATTCACTGCTAGAATAAAAGGGCAGAATAAAAAAATAGAAAAAAATTATATGAGTATTTCAAGCTGTATATACAGTTTTTATAAAATGCACAATGAATATGTTTGCCAATCACAGTAATATAAAAAACTAACTGTCCACTCTGGCTTCACATGAGTAGATCGAATTTTCTATAATAATTTATTGTTTACATGCCGATAATGTAGCTATACATGAAAGAATTTTTAAAATCGTTTAAGTAGTTTTTGAGTTTGACTATTACGAACGAACAATCAAACTTTGTTCTTTATAATATTAGATTATAGACAACATGAACAATATTGAAGCGTGTTTAAAATAGGAACATTCCCACAGTTTATTTTCTATAATGGGCTAGACGACACTTTGTCGATTACTGTAAGTAGGTTACCGTGGAAAGTTTATATAGGAAAATTGCGACAATAATTTTTTCCTTTTTTAAAAACATCTTGAAGTCTATTGAAGTGTATTTGAAGAATTACTGAACTAAATTATAGAAGATAGTACATTTAAAATAGAAATATTTCTTAGTAACTAAGACTAAATAATGAGAGTTCTCTTTTTTAGGCCTTAACTAAAATATTAAACATCTTGTGTGGAAAACTTATATATATTTTACAATACTTTCTTATAACGTAAAAATCCTTATCTAATTGTTAAAATACAATATAACGTTGTCACGTTATATTTTGGAATTTGCACCATCTTCTACTCTACGCCAGAGCTAGTGCTATGCATTTAGTAAAAGATAAATAAAAGAAAATATCTTTATATATAAACTAGCTTTTCGCTTCGTCTTCGTCCGCATGACCGGAATAATGTTCACTGACCGGGAAAAAAGTAACCTATATCCTTCTCCGTCTTATACGTGTATATCGATTGGCGATAAGAGGAAACAAACAAACTATTTTATATATATATATATATATATATATATATATATATATATATATATATATATATATATATATATATATATATATATAATTACATACCTAATGTATGTCTGTATATAGAAAAAAAAACGCTAAAAACCAAGTCAGGGGGATATTAGAAATGAAATAGATTACGTCTGTTTGTACGAGCTAATCTCTGAAATTGTTGGACCGATTTAAATGGAATTTTGCATGGTACTTTACAAGCTCGGACAACATTTTAGATACTTTTAATCATGGAAAAATAAGGAGTTCCCGTGGGATAGTTAAAAAACTATAGTAACTTATATAGCTTAGTACACAACCTACTTAAGTAAAGTTATTTTAACGTAAGACAAAGAGTGAGAACGACATGTCATTTGTTAATTTTGATCCAGTATTCTCAGATATAATAAACAGATAGGTACATACATCGATACATACTAAACAAGAATAATAAATACCACGCGGACGAAGTCGCGGGCATCAGCTAGTTTATAATATTAGTAAGAAGGATGTATGTACATGTAAATAGTAGCCGTTTCCCGCGGCATTGCTCACTTCTATCTATGTAGTTCTCGTATATCCTTCCCATTGAAACCTTTCATTAATCTGGTCTTATATTGTATTATATACTTAAATGATAATTACGTACCTAATATTTTCATAAGGTTTCAGCCAATTCAACTGATCGGCTATTTTATAGCATTTTATATGTGATTCTTTAGATTGATATAACTCTTTTTTATTTATGAACCGATTGAAATAAAACAGACACTAAATGTTAAGTGGAACAAACCGCAAAGCATTAATGGAAACCGCATTCTAATCGGTTAAGCCGTTTCTAAGATTAGCGTGCACAAAGGTACAGACAAATAGTCAATAATTCTAAAAATCATTGTTTTTTTGGTTCTATTGCGTTCATAAAGTCCCCCTATAATAGTTTTTCTTATATATCTTCCATGTACAGACAGCGATCAGTTACGATTTTACTATATGTACTGATTAATAATAGATACTTTAAATATATGCAGAGTTCACAATATGCATACATATATACATGTATGTATACTAAGTTGTTAACTAAAGTAAAAGTTATTACAGCTGACGATACATTTACGCACAATATCATATTACGTACGTAATTCAAAGTATCAAGAAAATATTTTCTTAGCTATTTTCCTCGGAGGCTGCATTTTAAAGCAGCTCTCTAGTTATTATGTGGGGAGGTAAAATATGATTTTATTTTCCATTCTTTTACCATCTATCAGGTATTATCTAGTGTGTATTTTCTGTTTTAGAATCAGCAGTTACTTTCCAATTTATAAATAATATAGAATATTGTGAAGAGGAAAGATTTAATGCATTATATCATTACATCAGCCGTTAACTATGAACTGCTGGATATAGGCTTATAAACACTATGAGGGGGGGGGGGAGGTTGTCAGTACTTGCAACACTTGACAGGCAGATTGGCAACCGCAGTAAGGCTTTTGGTGATGTTTTAAGAGGGACTCTGCTGCCCATTCTTTGACTATTAAGTTACCTAAGCCGCTTCTTAATACACTTACGGGAAAGAAAGGACTGCAAGCCCATTATATGCTGAGACCATGTTTGGCGGCGAAATGTTCGTTAGTGTATTTATAATTGTAATTTTTCTATGTCTAATACTCAAACATACTCGCATTAGGATAATTAGTAGATCGTATTTCAACAATTTTTTTTATGCAACTTTGAATGGCAAACAAGCTGACGGCCCATCTGATGGAAAGTGGTAACCGTCGCCTATACACATGAGCAGTACCATGAACATAACAGAGTATACTGTTTCGCTATACATATACACATATATTATAAATGATAAATACACATATATGAACAAACATGTATTATCGTTGGATTGAACACATATTTTGTATTCTTAATTAACATAGTAGTAGCTAGTAACATTTATAAATTCGAAAATGAAATTGCAATGTCATGAAATTTGGCATAAAAGCAGATACAAGCTTATTATTCAGGTCAGTCAATATAGAGAGACAAGGCAGGGGAAAAATACGTTGATTTTAATTTAAAAACTTTTCGTGTAAATCCTTTATAAGCCACAGAGATCATATCATGAGATATCTGCTTGATGTTGTCAGAACAGTCTAAAGAACTCTTGATATTTAGATTATTTTGACACAAAAAGGACACGTTCAGACAGAATAAAGCGACTTAATTTGTCATAAAATTATTCATGATATACCAGAGAGGTCGCCACTGAGTTTTACTTGCACAGAGATGTTAGTATCAAATGATTAGAATGCTTTCACGAATTTATTTATTTTTGACGTGAATAGAATCGCGGGTACTGCTAGTTACATGTATAAATTTACTTACTTTTCCTCGATATCCTTTGCCTTGTCCCTTACGTCGTGGGCCGTGTGTTCCTCGTCGAAGTACAATTTCTTGGTCTTGTCTACATCGACCACAGTCAATTGTAATTCTTTGTGCGCTTGTGCAAGTGAATCTGTGCACTGTAACAATGACAAATATAAATTAGAACTTGTATATAAAGCAATTATATTAATAAAGCCTAGTTTACAATGAGAAATGTAGAAACATGAAACTACTTGCACGAAATTAATTTCTTCAACAATTCCTTATGTAGTCTTGGAATTACATGTGACATACAGTAATTTACACATTGTTTAAACCATAAGCCGATATAAATAATTACAAATCATAAAATGTTCAATAATTATTTGGATAGTAAAGTATTTAATTCAGTTTAATTACAGTAGTTAAATTTTATGAAAGACTACCAGTTATTAGACTTTGACTCATTCCTTCCTTCATTATTGTACCTGTTTGCATAATAGATTTTTACTTCTATTTGCAACTAACTAAAGAAAAGGAGATTTTTAATTCAATTGTATTATTATTATGTTCATTTATAAACTAAAAATTATTTTTATCTGAAAATATATATTTTTAAATTTGTTTCGTAGAAATTCCATCAAAATAATTCCAATAGTTTGGTTTTTAAATTAAAATAACGGGTTCTGCCACGATTGTTGTCGGTATTTTTTCTTGACAAATTAAATGTATTATATTCAACTTTAAAAAGTAGTTTACGTAGTTTAGTAGTAAAAAAGCATTCTACTTTTTAAAAAATAAGCCGACAGTTTAAATTATAGAAAATGGTTACACCATTTTTATAATTTTTTAGCAGCTTAGATTACAAATAAAGATAAAAGTTAACAAGCCCTTGATGTTAAAGCAAAATCGCAATATGATGCACAGAAAACAAATTCACAAAGATGTTGTCGATTGGAAACATTGTTTTCTATTGCTTACCGAATATTTGTAAATAAGTCTATAGAGAATTAGAATTGTTTATCTAAGCCCATTTTATTGACATTATGTCCGTGGACGATGGTCTTATATTAAAAAAAAGGTTGGATTTAAAATTGGAATGTCAATATTCGTAATTAATTTCCAACATACGTTAAAAGTGACCAATTAAACCACAGATTAAACACGAAACTCATTACTTACATGTAACATAAATGACCGCCCGCATATCTCACTCGTCATATATTTCGCGTTTGATGTGTACCGTAATATACTGTTTATTACAGTTTGATTGTTTCATCAGATTGCAGCTTTCATATATTTAAATGACGTCGTACTAAATCTACTTTAAAATATTTACTGTTGACATGAAGGCAACTGTTGATGGTTCGTATCTTATTATATCAGATTACGCTATTTTCATACGAGTATAAAAAAGATTTTTTTATACTATTGCTGATCTTAAGTACCAAGAGTATTATTGTACTGTAATCATTATTACAAATATTATGGATGTGGATGTTTCTTTGTGTATTTGTTACTTCTTGATGCTTTAACGACTCAACCAACTGTCACTAAATTTGGTTTATATGTACTTTTTGGATGGGGAAGAGCTTGGGCTTTTTGGTTTTTGATAAGTGATGATGAAGCAATTTAGTTGAATTTTCATCAACGTACACAGATAGCGCAAAGGAGATAATTATTTTATTTCTTTTTATTAAAAAAGATACTTCTTTGCCATTACAAATTGCATTTAGGACCGTCTCACCTTTTTGGCGACATTAAGTTTGTGTTGCCTTAGGAACTTGGCCTCGTCTGCTATTTGTTGCTGGAACACCTCTACAGCGGCTAGTCTGGCGCGCGCTAGCTTCTCGTTCTCTTCTAGCACGGTGCGCCAAACGTTCCACATGTTCCTGAACAATACAGTACAGTTAGGTTTCTATGAGTAAAAATCAATAAAATAATATCATTAACCATAAATGTGTACATTGTTTACATTCCTGTTTAGTAACACGGTACTTGGAGCAGAGCCGATATATCTAACCCCACTGCGTGGCCCGTCAGTGTGCTTTGCAGTCGACTCCCCTACAAGCATACCCTACGCATCCTCTGACAATATTCGTCAGACCTAGGCTTAATAGCCGAGGCTGGCGCCCCAATAAGGCTCATCCAATTCGATATCCAATCCAATATATACCGAACTCTTTTGACGACTGGTGCAACGTTATTACTATTTAGTATGTTACATATGGTTAGTTGATTACAATTATTTTGTTTATTATTTATTCTGTTTATATTATTTATTATATTCTATTAATATTAACACGGCTATTAATAATAGCGGAGTTAAACAAACTAACCAGTGATATGGATTTCCACTAAATATCATTCAATTCAGTAAAATAGGTTATTTATACTTCGCCGAGCATATTGAAAATATTATGACAGATCACAGATAAAATTTGGCATTCTTTGCAGTCGGGTAGATACTTAGGCGTTTCAGATACCAACTAATATCGTTACCGCTCCGATATCAATATATTGCGTACCTCTGAACATTGATGGCGGAAAAATAGGCCATCGCAAATTTGAATACCGCCAATTGTAGGATATTGTAGGATATATATGATCTCAATAAATACTTCAACGGCTTAGATTATATAAATAGTCCTCAAATTCATTAACGGCTTACATTATATAAATAGAGTGTCATCATAGATATGCTTCGAGAAAAATGGGTTAACATTTTCATACAATTTTGCGTGATAAATAGTTCTTGAGTGATTCCTTTATAACTTATATATTTATTTTGTCTTATAAATTCTGTATCTTTTTAATGCGTAAACACTCATTTTATTTATTCAATAATACGTCAAGATACATTTTATGTGTAAGTATATAGGATACTGATAAAGAAACGAGTCTACTAATTTGACAATTAGCTGGCAGAATGTTGACCCGTTTTTGAGACTTGATCTAAATAATCTAAGTTTAACGGTTTTAAAAATTCTTGCACCTTCTATAAGTCTTCTGTAAGTTACATTACCATCAAGCAATATGGACTTATATTTATATTTTATTTTCAATTAAATTGGAAATATAATAATTGTTATAACGTACCTACCTAAGTTCCCGCGCAAAGCCGGGGCAGATCGCTAATTCAATATAAACTAACCAAGTAATATGCCAAAAATTCATCATCATCATGTCAACCGTTAACTACCCATTGTTGAACATAGGCTTTCCCCATATGAGTGGGCTTTCGCAGTAGTTGCCACGCTTGGCAGGCGGATTCACAATCGTAGGCCTTGGTGATATCCCAAGAGTGATGGTGCTGTCCATTTCTCGACCATTAAATTTAAGTTAGACTTAATGCTCATCAAATTATAATTGATTAACTTGCATTTGGTCTAATTCTTTTGTGTCCAGACCATGTTTGTTTTATGATAACCCAAGAATTATTCATTCTGTTCGAGTCGCCAACAAAATTTAATTCAACGCAGTAGAATCGTTGAATAAATAAGCAGAAACTATTATTTAACAAGTGATGTAGTGTCCTGTATATTTTATTATATTAGGAAAAAAAAAACTTTTTATTAATTTTCCGTCGCCATTTGTTTATTTGTTTACATGTTTATATTTTTAAATACAATTTTCATACAAAAAGAATTATAAAGTCCAATCATTCGTTTCATTGGAAGTTAAAACAAACCCAAATGAACATATTCGGACGTGTAATTCCTCTGGGTGTTATAACATATTGCTTAGTATATTCTGCTTGTGAGTTTGTATTTATATGACCGATATGTAGATAGACACCTATATATCGTTATGTCACAGTGTGACGAACAATCAGTAGTGTAACGCCTTGATCATGTCCCGAACGATTACATGATAATTCGGGTCATATTATTTTCTAAATTAGGCAACTAGTATAAAAAAAAAAAAACTTTAGACAGTGGACTATGTGAAGTGATTTTTTATCTATAAAAAGTCCTTTAATAAAATAATCTACTAAATTATTATTCTTACAGTACTAATTCTTATGCTGTGAAATTGAAATATAAATTTTTACGCTTTAGTACACTTTGCAATCAGCCTTGAAAATTTCCATATCCAAGGCTACTTGGCGTTTATTTACTGAAATAACTGGTCATTTGTAATTGTAATTATAAATTTTACATGACAGAGAATCAGTATAAAATGAAACTCGAATTCTCAAACTCAAAAAAAGGAATAATACAACTCTAAGCAGGAAATGTTTGGTAAAAAGGTATTATTAAAAACTCTAATGATATTGATCGGTATTTAACTTAATTACGGCGTGTAAAAACAGGAAATATAAATACTCATAGGTTATATAAAAATATGATGGCCATTTTTCTTAAAACTCTTCTACTTAGAATTCAGATAAAGATCTCACCAACAGCCCTTTGAATTGCATCATTATAGCATGGTACGGACCACTTCCCATAACAGGAGCCCAGGGTATTAACTATCAATACGCTTGTTAGGTGACTTGATAAGTTATATTTTGAGTTTTTCTCCTCTAGTAGGTAGAAAAGTATTGTACTTTGTTGCTCTTATTAGTTGCCTTTAAACATTCCGGGGATGACAGTGTTGGAAGTATCTTTATTTAGTTTATTTCAAAAATAATACAATAACTATAAAAGAAATAAGAAACTTGACTCTAGAGTAAGATTAAAAAGTCAGTATAAATAAGAAATTTTATTTATACTCCTTATCGAACGTAGAACATATATGGCCGCCCTAAACTGAACATCCCTAAAGGCTTAAAGACATAACTAACTCGTATAGAATGAAATTGACATTCTAAAAATATCTCGCATCCAATATCGCCTGCGATCCCATCCAGCCAGCAATTCATTAATCTCAGAATATTTAATACACATATAATATTTACGTATTGAATCGAATGTCTTACTTCTTACTAATATAATAAATTGTATTTAGACAATGTCTGTAAATGGGAGATATTTAAGAAAAAATAACATGATGGGTTTTAATAAGACCAATTGATGTCAAAATAACATTTTTTTAGAAATTTTGTCTGTACGATTGTTCTGACATCACACAAAAATTACTGCACTAAATGTGATGCGGGGTTCATATTTGTATTTTTAAAGGTCTAACTTAAAATATGATGTATTTTTTTTTCTTGATACTTTATCGAGAAGTGGTCAAAATGATTGGTTTTCCTTCTTCTAAAATTCTCGCGTAGGAAGTAGCAGACGAAAAGTTTGTTATGAATAAATCGATCGGAACCTTTACATCTTTTAACTATATATAAACCGTTCTGTACCGAAAGATATAACTTTATGTTCATCAGCTGGGGAAAAACAAAGATCAATCAATTATAACTTTCATAGGTACTTATCTTAAAATTCGAAAATAAGGTGAAAGGAAGTGTTGCAGTATTACAATCTTATGCAAATTATCAAATATGTAATTATAAACTGTTGTTAATTTCTTACATATACGCCCAACTGTAAGTAATATGATTTACCACTGTATGTAATAAAAATAAAGGATATCCGTTGTTCGTTTTTCAAAAACAGTAGATTCTATATAAATTTCTTGTTAGAAAAGAGACTAATTACAAATGAACACAACATACTACTTCTCTTGCACATGTTACTTCTCCGCGCAAATAAAGAATACACATGTATTTATTAAGCTCTCTCTTGTAATTATTATATTTTATTATTATTAAATCAGCCATTTGTTGTCCACTGCTGGACATAAGCCTTCCCCATAAGGGGGGTTTTGCCAATAGTTGCCACGCTTGGCAGGCGAGTTGACAATCGCAGTTAGGCTTTTAGAGACGTTTTAAGAGGGCCGCTGCTGCCCATCCCACGCCCTCCCTTAGTCGCCTCTCTTATGACACCCACGGGAAAAGTATGGGCGGCTCATTCTATTCTGGGGCACACACAGCGATTATTATATTTACTGTTCGTTATTATATATTTTTTTATTATAAACTAACTGCCTGCTCCGGCTTCACACAAATGTATTAATGAAGAAAGCGATACCAAATCTTTTTCACTCATTTTTTTAAATGTAATTTTTTAACCCACATTTTTTTTAATTATAAATTTTTAATTAATTTTATTAAAATTTTGTTTTAATATTTTTATTTTTATATACGATTTTTCATATATTTTTGTTCATACAAACATAGTCCTGCCAATCACAAATACAAAAAAAAAAGAATTAATTAAATAGCTACAGCTGTTCTAAATTGATGCGCTTACATATGTACATTCAGGAATTTATTTTTATTTATATAAAATAGATATGTTGTATACATATATAAATGACATAAAAATGATTTAATGCACAATGGTGAGATATCCCATAGAGGGATCTTTTGCAGACAACCCTTGAGAAGCTAAAAGGAATCAATAGAATATTCGAGGGTGATAGCTGTACTGACGAAACTCTAACATATCTCTTTAATACTATACATATCGGCACATGACTACACATATATAAAATGGCATATACTTATATCTGTATATGTCATATCTATAAAAGGCGTTTAATAGGTACATATTAATAACACAATTAGTTCAGCGGAACAGCAGTTTTACATCACAAATATATCGTCTTAGTCAAAATTCGACTAAGCAATTATTATGTTGACATGAGGTAATTCTATTATTCCGTTATCATGAATTTCATAAATAGGAAAACTAATGGAATATATCAGTTTTAAAGAAAACATAGATAGATAGAGCCTCTGTATTGTTTTCTCCAAAAGATTACAAAAGTAGTTACAAAAAATTATTACACTTAGAAAACAATGGGCGACCTTATCGCTAAAGCAGTCTCTTTCAGGCAACCTTTGGATGGAGAGGAGTAATTGTAAACATATAAGAGATTTAAAGTT